AAGAGGAAAAAGAGAAAAAGGAAGAGGAGGAGGAAGAGGAGGTAAAGAAGAAGAGGGGGAAAGAGAGAGAAGAAAAGCCAGAGTCAGCCTGGGCTGCATAGTGAGACTATTCCAGAATGAGGGGAGTGGAAAGACTGACTTTCCTTGCTTTGTGAAAAGAGTTTTGGGGTGCCATGCTTACACAGAGCCACTTAGAAAACAATTTCCCACATTCAGCTATCCAGACACTTGGAACATCCAAGGAACGCTGCTGCTGTGGCGGCTGCTGCTGCGGCGGCTGCTGCTGCTGCTGCTGCTTGAACTATTGGCACACCTTGGCATTGTCCATGAGAATGATCTTACAGGTTTGCATCATTTAAGAGTCATGGAATCCTGGAAGATTCTGCTAAAATTCCAACAAAAGGACTAGGGAGCCAGGCATTGGGTACCAGGCTCAGAATCCCCTTCTGACAGGGCTAGAAGTGACACTGTGGGAATGCTGAAGATGAGGTGGGGACCCAGCAATGTGGAGCAACTGCCTGAGAAAACCATAGGCATCCAGCAGAGCCAGCCCAGGAGAGAGGCTGTATGAGCACCAGCTGGTGACATCACATGGACTGGGATGCCCAGGGTCTCTGAAACCCACATCCTGACAGCATGTGCCAGGTACTGCATGGAGGATTTAATGTTTGCCCTGCTGGGTTTAAGTCTTGCTTTGTGGGCCCCATGTTGCTCTTTGGGGATGGAAATTCTTGCCCTGCCCCACTATTTTATGCTGGAACTATGAAATGTTCTTTTTGTAATTAAAAGCTGCAAGTTGCTTTGAGTCTCAGCAGAGAGTTTGGACTTGAAACTTTTTTCATTTATTTAGTGGTGTGTGTGTGTGTGTGTGTGTGTGTGTGTGTGTGTGTGTACATATGTGTGAAGGTTAGAGAACAACTTTCAGGAGTCAGTTCCCTCATCCCTCCATATCGGTTCTGGGGATCGAATTCAGACATCAGACTTGGTGTTGCACCCATAACCTAATGAGTCATCTCAACAGCCCAGAGCTGAGCTTTTTGAGAAGCGCTGGAATTGCTGAGATGACGAGAACTCTTGGAGATGGACTAAATTTATTTTGAATTACAATATGGTCATGAACCTTGCTAGGGGCAGAACGTTTGGTATGAAATGCCCAACAAAGGCTCATGTGTTGAAGACTTGTTCCCTAGATGGTGGCACTAATGAAGGGTGACTGGATCATCAGCATGCTAACCTTGCAAGCAGTCTTCTTATCTTCCTACTAATCAACTCCACTCAGCTCCAGGGCCCAGTGCTCACTCCTCATCAGCCTTCACAGAAGAGGAGGCACTGACCAAATCTTCATTTGACACCACGTCCTCTAGATTGGCTACTGGATGATTTGCGTTAAGAACAAACATATTGCTTGATAGAAAGGACACTAGGGAATAGCCTTGTACTCACTGGCACAGGAGTACAGGCACGAATATCAACAATTAATGAATGGGACCTCCTGAAACTGGAAAGGTTCTGTATGGTAAAGGACACCATTATTTAGACAAAGTGGCAGTCTACAGAATGGGATGTTTTTATCAACTACACATCTGATAGAAGGCTAGTATCCAAATACATAAAGGACTCAAAAAACTATATATCAAGAAAACAATTAACCCAACTTAAAAATGAGGTACAGATCTAAACAGAGACTTGTCAAAAGAGGAGACTTAAATGGCTGAGAAACAAATAAATGTTCAACATCCTTAGTCATCAGGGAAGTGCAAATCAAAACTAGTTTCAGATTCCTTTATGCTCACCAGAATGGCTAGGATCCATAACACAAGTGACAGCTCATGTTGGTGAGGATGTGGAGTAAGGGGAACACTTATCAGTTGCTGGAGGGAGTGCAAACGTGCATAGCCACTATGAAATCAATGTCGCAGTTCCTCAGGAAGATGGGAATCAATCCATCTCAAGATCCAGCTATGTCACTCCTGGGCATATACGCAACAAAGGACACTTCTTTCTACCACCAAGACACTTGCTCAGCCCTATTCACCACCGCTCTCTATTCTGGATAGATACAGGAAAGAACCTAGATGTCCTTCCACAGATGAATGGATAAAGAAAATGTGGTACATTTACGCAATGGAGTATTACTCAGTCATAAAAGAAAAAAAATGAAATCAAGAAATTCACGGGCAAGTGGATAGAACGAGAAAAAAAAAATCATCCTTAGTGAGGTGGTCCAGAACCAGAACCCCAACTGGCCATCTTTTGTCCCAAAATGAAGCTTCCAGCCCCAGGATTAGGTTACATCTAATTGAGATGTTAGCCAAAGGAGTCCCACAGGAACCCCCAAAATAATCCATGCTGTTGCTGAGACTCTAGGTTGCTTTCTCCAAGCTGATGGCAAGGCCCCATTGCTGACAGCAACACCTACACAACTCACTGAACATGGAGAAGACAAGCTGATCCCCACATAGAGACTTTACCCTTACTGGCTACTGTCTTTGGTAGAGGAAGGTACTCTGCACACTACCAAAGGAGAAACATAAACACCAAGTCTGCCACAAACCCTTGGGGAGCATTCCACTACTGTGTGAGTAACTAACCAATATCCAATTTGACTGAAGGCAAATCATTAGGGTACTCCATGAGATGGAACCCGTATCTGATAATGCTTGGGTAACCAAGAACCTGAGACTAGATAGCTCAAGGACCTAGGGTAAACCCAAATAATACTGTGATAGATAGATAGATAGATAGATAGATAGATAGATAGATAGATAGATAGATAGACAGAGATAGAGATATACAAAGATATAAAATATAGCAATAAAATGACTCCTAATGACATTCTGCTATTCTCATAGACCAATGCCTTGCTCAGCCATCATCAGAGAAGCTTCCTCCTGCAGCAGATGGAAACAAATACAGAGAGACCCACAGCCAAACATTATGCAGAAAGTGAGAGACCTTGACCCTGAAGGGGATGTCTCCAGCAAATTCCTCTTCTCAGGGTGCAGGGAACCCCACTAAAGAGGAAGCAGAAAGAGTGTATGAGCCATAGGACACCAAGAAAACAAGGCCATCTCAATCAACATGATCAAAGTATTGAATTCACAGAGACTAAGGCAGCATGCACTGTCTGTACCAGATGAAGTGCTAGAGTGGAAAGGAGAAGTGGACACATGCTCCTATCCCTAACCCAGAAGCAATCTACACTTGATAATCATTTGCAAATGAAAATTCGCTTTCCTCCAAAAGCATTTCACTGGAGATACTCTCAAGGGTAAGCTGCATGCCCAGCAGTAGATGGCCAACAGAAAACAAACTCAACAGCATAATTGGGGGCTCCTTGTCTCATGTCATGTCAGAGCTTTTCTTTTTATCTTAGTTTTATATTTTTTTTTCCTCTCTTTTTACCCTATAGGCCCTTTGGGTAATATATTACTGTTTCCAGGTTAGTGCTTTTATGGGATTCCTGAGTGTGCAAATCAGTGGGTCTCTGCCTCTGTGTCTGCTTCTTGTACCTTCTCTTGGTCTCTTTTCTTATGTTTTATTGTTTTGTCCTATCCCAATGTGTCAGTTTTTGTTCTATATTATCATATTTTATTTTATTATTATCCTGTAGAGGCAGAAAGGGGGTGGATCTGCATGGGAGGGGAGGTGGGGAGGAACTGGAAGGGTAGAGGGGGGGAAACCATAATCAGGATATGTTATGTGACAAAAATATCTATTTTCAATAAAAGATGGGAACAAACATATTGAGCTCACAATTTCCCCCAAACAAAGCCAGCATGAGCTGCAAGGGCTTGAGTGTGAATAGCACCCTCTGCCCAGAAAAGTCCACATCTGCACTAAATTGTGCATCCAGTTCAATCCAGCAGCGGTTCTGATTCATTTGAAACCCAGGCCTAGCAATGACAAACAAAACAAAATTAGACACCAGGCATGTTGTCTCATGGCATCCACTTTGTATTTAAACAAAAATGTGTGTCAGGCCAGGGGTGTAGCTCAGTGGGGGGGGGGGGGCGGGAGCATGTGCGCAGTGTGCTCTAGGACTTGGGTTTGATTCCAAGTACCAGGGAAGAACAGAGCGCAAAACAGAAGGAAAGGAACAAAAGCAGGGAGGAGAGGAGAGGAGAGGAGAGGAGAGGAGAGGAGAGGAGAGGAGAGGAGAGGAGAGGAGGGGAGAGGAGAGGAGGGAAGAGGAGAGGAGAGGAGAGGAGAGGAGAGGAGGGAAGAGGAGAGGAGAGGAGGGAAGAGGAGAGGAGAGGAGAGGAGGGAAGAGGAGAGGAGAGGAGAGGAGGGAAGAGGAGAGGAGAGGAGGGAAGAGGAGAGGAGAGGAGAGGAGAGGAGGGAAGAGCAGAGGAGGGGAGAGGAGAGGAGAGGAGAGGAGAGGAGAGGAGAGGAGGGAAGAGCAGAGGAGGGGAGAAGAGTTCAGAGAAGAGGAAGGGAGGGGAAAGAGTGGAGGGAAATGGAGAGGAAAGGAGAGGTAGAAGGGGAGGGGAGGGGGGAAGGGAGGGAAGAGGATGCAAGAGGAGAGGAGAGGGGAGGGGAGGGGACAGGAGGGAACAGGAGAGGAGGAGAGGAGGGAAGAGGAGAGGAGAGGAGGGAAGGAGGGAAGGGGAGGGAAGGGGAGAGGAGAAGAGAGGAGGGGAGGAGGGAAGAGGAGAGGAGAGGAGAGGAGGGAAGGAGGGAAGGGGAGAGGAGGGGAGGGGAGGGGAGAGGAGAGGAGAGGTGAGGAGAGGAGAGCCAATCTTTGAGCTAACACCACACACCCTTCTATCCCTGTCTCTTCCATGGGTTCTCAGAGCAACTCTCTGGATGAAAGGTGGGCTGCTGCGTCCAAAATCTCTACTAGTTGGTGACTCATCAGAGACAAAGTCACTTGCTTTCGTAACTCATAGCTTCACATGCATGGAACAGCACTCAGAACTCTACAGTCAGACAGACAGCACAGGCAATGTCCTTTATTATACTGTACACTGATTTTTTTTCCATGAAGAGAACAACTTTCAAAATAAATCCAAAGCAGACGCAGAAATTTGCATGATACTTGAACAGTCTGTGACATGAAGAAGATGGAAACAACCCTATTTACACAGAAGTAGAGACTGGGACGAGGACAGGCACCCCATGACTTCACATTCACCAGCCAGGGCCAAGCACACTGCCTGTGGGCAGAGCTGTGGGTCCCCAGACTTGCAAACACAGGCAGAGTGATGCCCTTCACCTTCTCAATACCACCCAAGTGTCAGATCGAGAGGGCTGGACTTGACTTCTTCTCAGAAACCAAGTCTTTCTGGCATCAACTGGAAAAAAATATCTGCATAAGAGGCGCTACTAGACATAAAGAAATACCAAGGCTCTGCCGGCCAGAAATCTCTGTTTCTAAGCCCAGTGGATGGTCAGTCATGGGGTGACATGCTTTCTCCATTGTAACCTCAGCACAAGGATGTTGTCATGCTTCATTGTGGTTTGTTTTTAATTGGATGCACCCTTCAATTGATTACCTGATCAACTTCCTGATTTTATAGACAAAACCCCCTTGAAACCCAAAGATGTGAAGCTCCTCTCTCAAGCCACAGCTAATCAGCTGCAGACCCACTGCTAATCAGTTCTAAATGCTGTGCTGCTTCCACCACACCAAACACCCACTCTGATCACTTTAGATCTGATTGCTGTAGTTTTCCAAAGAAATAAACAAACATATGAACTGAGCTTAATGGGTTGGAAATGATTTCTTTGGTAAGAACATGTCAGTCTTACATTACCAGATCTTGAAAATCTAGACTGGCTCCCACCTGGGCAGGAATACCCTCTGAGAATTAAGGCAGTTTAGGGACCTTTGTTGAGCAGGATATCTGGGGTGAGTTGGTACCCCGCATCCCCTCTGTCTCACCTGAATCTAGAATGAAGACTGACAAAAGCTAGATACCACCAATGTTCTTAAACAAACATCTCGCAGCTCATAGAAAATAATTCTCTAAAAATACAATAAAATATCGAAAGTGTCAAGTGTCATATACAGTACTCAGGAGCACACTGGTCCTGGGTGAACCCCACTATTTAAAAAAAAGCCACAAAGAAATCAAGCATTACGTGTGATAAAGCATTAGCCCCCATCTGGTAAGAGTGGGTAGGAAGGTGGATGCACTGACCTCCTAGCACCTTCGAGGGGCTTTCTGGGTGCCACACCCTTCCTCCCCCATCAGAGCACCTGGACTTGGAGCCAAGAACCCCTTGTCCCGGTCTCAAGAGCCAACTCTGCCACAAAACAGCACCTTTGCTTTAGTTTGGGGGTCTTTCAGCTAGCACCACGTCTCAGCTTCACCCCAGGGACAACATCTGCAGGCAGAGGGACCACACAGATGGCAATGAGAAAATGGTGGGCCAGTGCTGACCTAGGCACCCCGGCTTTCTGAGTGTGTGTGCTTGTGACAGCTGGGGCATTTGCTTCTCAGGACCCACTGTTCAAAGGGTGACGAATGTCACTGAAGAAAAGGACCTCTCAGGGAGCCAGTGGGATGAGATGAGTAACATTCCTCTGCTCTTCTCCCAACACGCTGTCCTTCTGTAAGAAATACTGCTTTCCTCTTAAGTGGGACTTCGTGTACTCTGCGTTTGGTGACAGCCCTGGGTGGGGTGAGCAGAGAGTTGCCTGGGGCTCTGAAATGTGAAGACAGGATGGGAATGGAAGGTCCACCCTGATCCCTCAGAGGCTGAGATCTTGAGCAAGACTGTCTTCTCACAGGGAGATGGGAAGATGGGAGATAGGAAGCAGTTTTCCTTTCCTGTGGGGCAGTGGGCAGGCAGTATGGGTAAAAGGGTTTTGTTTAAATAATGATAAAGTATCTTTAAAGGTAACAAGAAAAAGGAATTGCTATTCATCAGAGGTGTTGTCTGCCAACAGGGCTCTGACTTGCACCTATAATTCACTGGTGTGAGAGAGCCTCACCATCCCCAGCACCCCAAGACATTGGCCACTGGGGGATGCCTTGAGCTGAGCCAGCCTTCTTACATGGAAGAATCAAAAGTCCCTGGATTACCTCTAAGGAATGACTCAAGGACCCTGATTCAGCAGGGAAATCTGGGGGTCTTCAGAGTAAAACACCTCCCCATCCCCAGTTGGCATCGCCTGGCCCCTTCTTGCATCCTCTTGGGGACATCCCAGTTTCTCTGTGCGCCTCCTACACGACCCCAATGAACTCAGGGGCTTTTTTTTTTTCCTTTTCATCACCAAAAAAAGCCTGTAGAGTGGAAGTTCACTATCACAGTGACAACCTATGATTCTAGATTTCAAATAAGGGCATAAGAGACTCAAACCATAAACATGAATCCCTGGAAGACGCCATCGATTTTTCAAGTCATCCTTTCCCATCATGAACCAAAACTAACCACCAGAGGGCACTAGGTAAACCTAGAAATTTCCTGACCCCACCAACTTGTTCCCTCCAGTCAGAAAAACCTCCCTGGGCATGAGGGGCTGTGCTGTGATGTGGTAGGGCCCATCATGCCCTCCAAGGTGCCAAATCTAGTCAGTATGAAGCAGGCCATTTTCAGAGCCAAGATATCCCACTACTCAGGACCCCTCCCTATCTGCTGGGTTCCTGGGTCAGGGAGGCTTAGGAAGTGTCTGTGGACCATAAAGAACCATGGCAGCCTACCAGGCTACCCTCTCTCAGGTGCCCACCTGGCCCCATGGGACAGAGATCTCTGTTATGGGCTCACATTTCTGACTTCACAGGGGCCCTGCCTCAATCCCTAGGAAGGTGTCAGGAACCATCCATATATCGAACAGAACATGACAAAGATGTGGCCTTGGCAGGGGTGATTCATCCAGCTGTCTCTACCATCTTTCTGGAATATCTGACTTTGTGGCACTTCCTCACTGGTGGTCTAGCTACGTTCTCCCCCTAACATCATGGTTTGGGACTATCCAAACACCAGAAGCTAGAGTAATGTTCTAGAACATCCCAAACCCAATCTCAGATTAACTAGAAAACTAAGTCAGGGGGTTTCTTCTCAAAACCCCTAAAACATCGACACTTTAGCTGCAAATAAACCCCAGCTCCCACACAGAGGCTCAGACACCAGAGTGGTGACTGGGTGGAAATAGAGGGGTAACATTGGCTCCCACACAGACCCCATCAGGCTTTGGCTGGGCTTTTGATCTCTAACCAAATGTCAATCTTCTCTCGGCCTCGATGAATCAAAGGTTTCTTCTGTGATTTGAAGTACAAGCACATTCGGGAAAGGGTTCTACCCGAGCCATGAACCTCAGCTCAGGTGTGCACTGAGATTGTCCTCACGCCAGAGTTCCAGAAGCCATGTCCCATTCCCTCCTTCCATCTTCTTCCTCGAGGCTGACTGGTTCTCCACACTCGCTGCCTCCAGGCCCAATGAACAGAAGGTGAACAAAACCAGAGTCATGGAATCATTAGTAACTGGGAAAACGAGAGGGATGGGAAAGGTTCTTCCAGGATAGGAATCCCAGGGCAGTGTCCACTTGGGGGTGAAGAGGATGCCCTTGGCCCGGATGTTGACCCGTGGGTTCCTCCTCCTCGGGGCCAGGTTCAGATAGCCAACCAGTGCCGCAACTGTGATGAAAAATAGAGTAATTGAAGACAGAGTCAGTGGGGATTTGGAGGACCAGGGGCCAGCTGGTTGGGGCAGCAAGAAGCAAAGCAAACAGCCTCCTTCCCAGCACAGACCTCAGAGCACAATCCTTAAATGGTGCTGAGGCTGGATGCAAAGGAACCACCCAAAAGAGGGAGCTCAGCAGGCACCACCCTCACTCCTGGAGCCAGCAACTCATTACTAATGCCCTGCAGCTATCTATGCCTTCAAGATTCTAAAATGCTCAGCTTAGTTTGGTGACACAGATGTGACAGCTCAGGGGCAGAATAAAACTAGGAACATTTTAGCACTCAGCATCCCGGGACTAGGAAGGAAACAGCATCAGCATCAGGAGGCTGACTGGGCACCCATCACCTTAGTCCCTAATCTGAAGCTGGTCACCACCCAGATTTTCCCAGCTGTGATCCTGCTAGGGCACCCCACAGAGAACAGCCAGAACCCACCCTGTCCTGCCCCACACCCCAAAGTCAGCTCTGCATCTACCTGGAACTGTCTCACGTCTCTCTGGGCCACCAGGTGGTGCTCATTCTCCGGCGTGATGCCGTAGGCTACTCTCTGTGAAGAAGGAAAGGAGAGAGTCTCACTGGCCCAGACCTCAGATGTGTCCAAGCAGTTCAGATGTGAGGTCTTTGCCTTACAAAGTAAGGACACTTGGAAAGACTACCACCACTGGTTTGTATGGCAAAATAAAAGTCAAGATGTAACTTCAGGATAAAAGGCACCTGTGCTGTGTGTGTGTGTGTGTGTGTGTGTGTGTGTGTGTGTGTGTGTGTGTGTGTGTGTATGATGCATATATGTAAAGGGAAAGGAATCATGTCAGAAACCTACAGGTTAGGCTGATCATATTATGATTAGAAAAATGGTAGTGGGCTCAGACAAGGAGAGATGGGATATCTGGGGACATAACACACCTTAAAAGGGGACAGGCATGGCTGAGCTTTGCCTTCTCCTATGAGCAGTAGAAACAGCCATGGTACTGATGGGCAGTATGCAGGAAGCATCTCCCATGGGCCAGGTTCTTTACTTAGCACCCAAGTGTTCTTCCCTTCCAAGGTACACAGTATTATTCTCAGGTTACAGATGTGGAAACTGAGGCTCAGGATGGGTCATCACTTGGTAAATGAGGTGGGTATGCTGACCCTAAGTATTCTCTTATCTCTCTCTCACCCCAATAAGAATGCCACCTCCCCCCTTACCCCACAGTAGCCATCCCAGAGCTCACCTCCCAAAGGGAACCCCGTATGCTGAAGAACTTGTAGATGACATAGGCAGGTACCAGGGTCATGGATGAGAGGGCAATGCCCCACCCGACCCAGTTGGCCCAGGGAGGATAGACGTAGTCATCATAGGTGAGCGGCTTGAAGTTGATGATACTGACCACCACGACAAACTGGAGGAAAGGGTGGGGGCAGGGAGGAAAGATGGAGTCGGGGTGGAGAAACAGCGAAAAGAGAGAGGAGGGAAGGGGGAAGAGAATGGCCGAGATAGAAACAAAATGAGATGACCACAGGAGGAAGGGAGAAAGAAAAGAAGAGGTGTTCAAGAGGTAAGTGATGGCAAAGACGGTGGGGGAGGAAGGAACACACGTGACTTTGTAGCCAGCACAGCAGCACAGGGGCGGGGGTGGGGAGGAACCTGGCTGGACACTCACTAAGGTAGATTATCCCCCACCCCTGCTAAGGATCCCGCCTGCACTGGACGACCAGGCTTCTAGATTCCAGCACCTCCTCCCCTAGGGAACAAATACGCCCACCACCACCCCACCGTGGTACCCCAGCCACACCCTACCCACCAGGAGGAAGGCAGGGCTGACGAACTTCCAACACAGTCTCCAGTACAGGCCTGGCTTGAAGCCCATCATCTGCTGGATGTCATTGCTGAACCTGTCCACACCTGTGAGCACATAGGGCAAGGCTGTCACAGAGAGCCTGCAGACGCAGGACCGGGGTCTCCCCTGATGCCATTCCATGAGGTCCTGGCAGAGTGCAGGGTTGGTGGCAAGAGACTGACACCCCGGAATGCGGGAGACCCGGCAGGCACCTGGCTAATGGCGAAGAAGGGAGAGGACAAACTCTGGGACCGTCACCTTTCATGTGCCACTCTGATTATCTTAAAAGGGGGAATTCCGCCAGAGCTTAGAGAAGGGAGGACTTGACCCAGACTGAGGAGCCAGGTCTCGGCCCCAGCCTGGCTCTTTCCTCTTGCTTAGTCTTTCTGTGAAAACAGCTGTCTATCCATACGTGCACACACATGGACACCCTCCCCCAACCATAATTTGAAAGAGACCATCAGACTGCAACCTTGTCCACAGAGAGTAAGAACAAGATTAACCTTTACTCTCACATAAAGGGGAAATGTACAATGATAACACATGTGACAGTTTGTTGCTCAGCTCAGCTCCAGAATGATACAGGATATTTGTTTAAGTTTGAATTTCAGACCCATAATGAAAAAAAATCGGCATCAGGAGAGTCTATGTAGTATTTGGGTCATGCTGATCTAAAAATATGTGTTCATCGTTCATCTGAAGTTCGAGTTCAGCAGCATCCTGTTTTGTTTGTTCAGTCTGACAATTGCACTGTCAGGTTTGGTGGCTGGGGGTCTGCAGCTCGCTAAGGGTTCTCTTTCAGCTGTTGGCATCGGGTGTCTTTTAGGTCTCTGCAGCCCCAGTGAGCTGAGGATTGGAGAGACTTAACACCTGTTAAATGGGCTGCTCACTTCTGGAGATCCAGGTGGCTGTCCTGGATAAAAAGCTCTTTCCCCTCTCCAGGTAAAACAGACTCCACGAGCTCTGGGGACCAAGGCTTATGACAGCCTCACTCACCATAAAACCAGGAAACTCCGATCGCTTCCATAAGCACCGCAAACAGAATGGAGGTGCCTGCTGCAAAGGTGTCTAGCAGAGTCAGTACGTAAATTCCTCCCTGGGGCACAGAGAGAAAGGGCTTGAGCCAACCTTGGCTATAAACAGTCACCGACTATCCTACCTATCCTACAAACCCGACCTATCCCCATTCGCACAAGCTTAGAGCCCTGTTCACAAGCGTGGGTGGCAGGGTTGTACAGCTGAATGTGTCTGCATTCTAACCAAGGGCTCTAGGAGCCACTGGCTGAAAGAGTTACACTTGATAAACATCACGATAAGTTTCCAAAGGACTTCTGCAGGCCCTAAGTCAATCGGCAGTAAGTAACAGTGCTTGGAAATCATCAGCCCCAGAGGTAGCATGAGGCAACAGTGATCTCCTCTGAGTATGAGAACATAGGGTTCAGGATAGTAGAACCCCTGTGCTCAGCCTCATCCAACCCAGCCCAGCACCAAGGCTGAGAATGTCTAGATTTTGAAGCACAGTCCTAGAAAGCCCCAGATTGCCCCATGGCCAGCCTCACCTTGGTTATGCAAAACATGGCCAGAAGGAAGGTACTTATGGTGACACCAAATGTGAAGAGTTTCCGGTGCCGCTTCAGGACCTGGAAGTCGTCAGCCAGTCCAGTGATGACTGCTTCCATGCCTCCCATCTGTAGAGAACCAGGAGGGAGGGCAGGAATGAAGGGCTCCCTATAGTTTAGTATCAGCCTCAGTTACATCAGGTCTTCAGAAATTGGCAGGCCCCACCTTCCTCCCAAGCGCTTTCCCCCCTTTTTCTGTCCCAATCTCAACCAAGCTCAAGCTATATGGGATGGGGAAGAGTTAACTCTTGCCTGCCTCTGCAACAGGTCCCTGACCCCTGGCTCACTCAGCCTGAGTGGGTACTGATGGGAAATAGAGAGCGAAGGGATATATTGCCCAGATGACATATCTACATACAAATAGGACCTTCTGGAAACATCAGCTAATGGACTTCTCCGGAGTGGGAACTTCATACCATAGCATATGACAAGGGTTCCTTACTGCCTTTCTAATCACCAAAGTGGTCACTTTAAGTACAGACTCTGTCGTGGCAGACAATAGTCACACATGTCCCTTGCTCCTCTCCACTGCCCTTGGCAGACATTGTTAATCAACCTCAGTACTCTACCCTAGGGTCTGGAATCAACCTCAGAACCCTTTGCAACAACTGCTCTGGCAGATCCACCAAGTAAAAAGCAAACAGTGAGATCTGCTGGCCAGCCCCTCCCTAAGGTATTTAGGGTGGAAACACACATTGAAAAGATGTCAGGAACTTAACTTTGCACATAACTGAATAATAATAAAAAACCAGGGATCTAGTAACCTAACAGGGTCCAAAATGTTTGGGTTGGTTGTCAGTAATAAAACATAATGAAACGGGAAAGTGCTGGGTCACAGGACATTCTATTCACATCCTGTGGAGAGAATTCTGGCTCCCCATCCACAAAAGCAGAGTGTTGGGCTGGCTTGTCTGAGGTCCAGTACAATTTGGAGTTCCTGTAGGTTCCTGGCTTTGACCTAGGCTATCATTTTGAAGGACGACTCACTTCATTGTCTAGATTAAAATAAGGCCCTTGGAAACAGACCCCAGACAGCAGCAGCCCTGCAGGCTGAGTACTGGTATGGATTACAGTGGTGGAGAAGGGTGTTCTGGGAGACATCACTCACTGAGCTGTCCAGACCCAGAGCCAGGAGCATCAAGAAGAACAGGACAGCCCAGAACGTGGATCCCGACAGAGTGGAGATGGCTTCTGGATACAGGATAAACACAAGGCCAGCTCCTGTAAGAAATATTAGGGCCTGATCAATGGTTGGGATGTTCAATGGGGACTGCACAGGGCAGGGGAGCTCCAGCCCAGCCTCAGGACCCTTGATCAGTTATGTGTGGGCAGCACAGACTCAGGATCTGGGCATGAGAGATGGAGCCACAGTACAGCTGTGCTATTGTCCAGATCTGTAATGTCCCCCAAGCAGCCCTGTGTCCAAGTCCTGATCCCCATTTGGTGCAGTTTCAAAGTGATGGGAACTTCAAGACACAAAGTCCCATGTAGCCTTCCATTTGTTGAGGATGCGCCCTTGTAGGAGATATTGGGACCCAAGCTCCTCTTCCCTCTATCCCTTTTATACCTTGGCCATTGGGTGAACAGGTTGTTCCACCATGTGGGCCCAACATAGGCCCCAAAGCAAGAGTGCCAAACAGTCATTGACTAAAACCTCCAAAACTGTGAGTCAAGTAACCCCGTCCTCTTCGTAGCCAACTGTCTCAGGGACCTTGTTAACAGTGACACAAAGCAGATGAACAACCAGGCAGAGAGAGCGGCACGTGGCCTGAACAGCTACAAGCCACATGTGGTAAACCCGCTCTCTACTCTGTGGGAATCTACTCTGATTCCCAGAAACTCATGACCCTCCAAGTCCATTAAAGGCTGCCCTTTCCTGGGTCTCAACTTCCCTGCAGCCTTAAGAACACAGAAGGCCATGGAGAAGGACAGAGGTTCCAGAGTCAGGCTGACTGGGGCCAAATGCTAACATCACTGATCACTAGCTCATGCATAGCTTAAATCCCAAATCATTCATCTTTAGAGAGAATCTACTGAGCCTTGCCTTGCAGCTTTGTGAGAAGTGGGGATATGCTGCTATGTTTGGAACATAGTTTGTCCCCCCTGAAATTCATGCTCAGGCTTGCTCCCCAGTATAGCAATGTGAAGAGGTTGAGGAGCTTAAAGATGTAACTAGATGTTAGTGAGAGTAACCCCATTTTTAGGAGTCCTTACTCCCTAAGAGTTGTGAGCTCTCATGGAGAAGCTGTTCTACAAGCATGACTCTTTTGACACACAGGCATTTCTACTTCTCTATAGTAAGATAAATAGCGTATGACCTACACCAGAAGCCTACTGGACAACCGATCTCCATGCTCTGGGCTTCCAGAGAGGTAAGCTAACTAAACATCTTTTGTGTATAAATCACCCAGTATGAGCACCTAATGCTACCTCCTGCAGACCCAGAGCTGTGAGGACTTCAGAACTGGAATAGATTTGGTACTAATTATTAGTTAATTAGCATAAAGGCTGGTGCAAAATGAGCAGCCCAAAATGTGTTCCTCTTAGGCCCCTAGAGGAATGTTTTTGTTATCTAGTTAGGGCCCATAGTTGCCAGGAATATTCAATGATGTCCCTAGGAGAAAATCCAACAGTTGGAAGTCCAAAAACCTCCACAGCCAGCCGTCACGGTCCTCCAACCATGGAGGCACTATGAAGCCAGCTCAGTCTTTCTTCCTTCAGCTGGTGACCTACCTTCAGTGGCAACATCCTCAATCTTGACCTTATGCTCATGGGCCATGTAACCAAGGATGGAGAAGATGGCAAACCCAGAAATAAAGCTGGTAACACAGTTGATGGTACTGGTCAGCAGGGCATCCCTGGGAGAGAGAGAGAGAGAGTCTGCTAGTGACAATTCAAATCCACCTCGCTCCACTCACACTCTGCTCACAAACCACTGGCCGTCTATGGAATCTTCAGTCTCATCCAGTCTCAAAGGCCACCCCTCCTTTCCATTTCCCTGCTGTCACATGGACCCCAGGGCCTCACCACCACTGGGTTAGGACCTGCTGGGGCAGTGTGTCAGCAAAGAGCTAACCAAAGGCTTGGAGATACGAGTTCCTCTCTCCTTCAGTAAACTCGATGGCTTTCTATGTCTCCTAGCTCCCTGTGTTGTCATTTCAGAGCGTTGCTAAGATGATCCACCCTTCCTTCTTGGCTTACTCCTCATGACTTCTAGTGTACACTCTTGGAACAAACAAAGCAAAGCAACTCGCTGATCCACTGACACGCCGCCTCCCCGTCTTTGTCCACGCCACTCCTTAGCACACATGCCATCTGTTCCACACCTGCCTACCATAACCTCAACTGTCCTCCCAGGCTTGCTCATCAAGTTCACTTTCAGGCTCTTAGTGGAAGTACCCTACTAAGTAGATGACCATCCCATTTCCTGACTTCCCTAAAACCTCTCCTGGTGGCACATCCATCCTGTTCTTTCTTGAATCAAAGACAGTGATCCTGCCTTGATTGTTAAACGGAGTGAGAGAGGTAAGCCTAAATCTGCCCCAGCTCTGAAGTCCTCATAGTATAGGGTCTACAGGAAATAGCATCAGGTGCTCGCTGATCCAAACTGGAGATGATCTCCTCTGTGTCCCATCTGCCCAGAAGACTTATTTCTGATCCAACCAGCCCTCACCAACCTGTTCATTCTGACCCTGCCTCACAGAGTATCTGATGGAGAGAACCAGGCAGCTCCATCCTCTCTGGAAGCCATGCCACATTCCTCTGTCCCAGTAATCCTTCCCCATAGGCTCCTATGACTGGTGACCTCAACTTTCCCAAGAGATATCTTCCAGTGAAATATGCTCCTTGGGCCCCATAGACCACATTGGGATTCCCAGAATGATCAGGATGATCCACAGAAGACAGGCGGCTTCTTGTCCAGATAAAGCCCTCTCTCCATTCCTGTAAGGACCAACCCCAGGATCCAAAGTATTGGCAAGCTCTACTAGGGTGCTTACCTGTAACAGTTGTTGTCAAATTTATTGTAACTGGCAAATGCAATCAAGACTCCAAATCCAGCCCCCAGGGAAAAAAATATCTGAGTTGCAGCATCAATCCATACCTGAAAACAGTGAACAAAAGTCATCACCATCTCTACTTCCTACAGAGCTGCACTGCCTCCCTGAGAGTGCCATAGACCAGAAAACGTGGTCTGAAGCAGATGTAGGCAGTACAATAACAGGCTTGAATTTCCCTAGCATCTCCTGGCCTTGGGTGCCAGAGTAATCACGTCCCAGGGGGAGCCCAGTGGATCCATTTAACATCCAGATTTTCAAGAAAATTAATAAACTAAAATTTCTAGGCTAGAATGTTATCAGGGCAAGACCAAAGGGTTCTGGCCATCTCAGGAGTTATGAAGATGGCATCTTCAGAAGATAATGTGTCTTCCAGCTGCAGACACAGGTAACCAATGGGGGCCTGTGGAGACAATGGAGTTTGCTTTCCAATCCCCTCTCCCTGGTGACAAAAGCATATGCCTGGTGGACTAAAGATGTGAGCCCTTCTCCAATCTCTGTGTCATGGTTTAGCCCTAGTCAGTCTCACTTCTCCAGCATCCATGCTTGCCCATACATATGTATATGTAAATATATATAATAAATACATCCAGTACACCTAAACTAAGGCATTTGAATGTGATGATGCCTGCCACACCTCTACTTGTATTATTCTGGATTTCCCCAACCTTCCATTACAATGGGGAAAGGCGGATCCACTCACTGACACTACACTAAGGACTCAGTTTCTAGTTATCTAGGTGAAAGAGGGTAGCTGAACAGGTGCAGACCATATGGAAGCCTGCTGTGCTTCATAAGTTTCAAGGTGACCCATGACCTGTGGTCTATCATCTTTCTAAGCATCACACAAGGAAGAGGTTGCTTCTTGGTCCTTGCTCTATCGCATAGTGGTAGGCTGGACACTCAACCAAGAAAGAAGCACATTAAAATGTACCCTTCTTAATCCTGTTACCAAACCCATCACCACCTGCCCCTAAGAAGCCTCCCACCACCTGGCCCAATGCTCGGTGGCCACTGGGCACTCACCGTGGCCTCTTTGAGGCGGTAGAAGTCAATGTGCAGGTAGGCGTTGATGCCATTGGAGGCACCAGGCAGCGTGACACCATGGACCAGGAGCACAAACAGCACAAAGTAAGGCAGGGTGGCTGTGATCCACACGACCTGAGCAGTAGACAAACTGGATGTGAGAGTCTCGCTCCACCTGTGACCCGGGGAGGTACTAGGTCAAGGATACCGGGTCTTTTCCCAGAAAGCCCAACATGCCCTCCCCCAGCATCCTTCTCCTGGTGTTTGAGGTACCATCTTCATCTCAGGGCCAGGTCCTTGGTCAGACTCCAAGGACAAGGAACAGATGCAGGGCTCCCTGAAGAAGCTCAGAACTGATTGAGTCAGTCACTTAGAGACAGAAATGGCGGTCACCAGGGGCGAAACTGGCTTCTCCGAGCCCTGAGACCTCTTTGTCAACAAAGCTGCCTTTCCCAGCCCCTTTAGGCTACTTCCTATGGAACTGAGCACACCACCCAATCCCTGTCGGGCTTGCCTCCGTCACACCACAGGCACTGGCTGTTGCCCTCAGCGTAGAGGCGGTCTATTAAAACGTCCAGTCTCTCTCCCTCTCTTCTCTCCCCATTTTCCTTCCCCTCCTTTGCCATCTCCTTTAACACTTTCTCCTCTTGTGTATGTGTGCTTGCGTTTCCTTCAGCATTGAGGATAGAACCCAGAGCCTTCCACACATCAAGCAAGTGCTCTCCCACTGAGATGCATCTTTTATTTTATGAGACATCAGCCCACTTGTGGCCCAGGATCCCTCAAACTCACAATCCTCCTGTCTCAGTCTCCCAAGTGCTGGGATTACAGATACGTGCAAAACACTTAACTTCTCTCTTTGTCTTTATCCACATTTAAGTGCCTTCTCTCAAGTCTGTGGTGCGTGGGAATGGACAGAAAACAGAAAAAGTTCTCCACCTCAGTAGGAGCAGATCGAGACCAAGACAAATTATCTTTGCAGAAACACAAAAGGGAAGAGATTACCTTTAGAATCAAAGCAGATAGCCACGCCCAGCCCAGCTTGCAGGGACAGAGAAAGAAAGACGGGACTAGGAGGGTTGGTATCGTCTCTGATCCTCCATGCTCTTGGCTATACACTATATACACTACATTTAACCAATATATACAAGAATGTGGAAGAGAGTTCCCAGTCTTGGGATTTCTGGTTCAAATGGCCTAAGGCGCAGCCTCAACTCCAATATTTTTTCCCAACAGAGGTCAATGGGCAGCCAAGGTTAAATGCCTTCACTCTTGATGCAGCTGTGGGCTGTAGCATTTTTCTTTGGGGAGAAGTTGGGCCCCAAACAGAACACTGAGCTGGGGCCAAGGAAAGCACCACTGAAACATGAGTGGACACGTAGCTGAAGGAACAGGTGGGTTCCCCCTACAGCACTCTGCCCCCAAAGAGTCCATACTCAACCGTAGAGGGAACATGGAAGACATGACTTAGGGTAAAGTTCTTTGCCAGCCTGGAAAGATATGGGCTCAAAACAAAGATTGATATATTAGTGACAAATTCACACATTTTCCATATCTGTGTTTTGAAACTGGAGTTTACCTCCCTTATTTCCTTATTCCTGGTCTATATGGGTCCTTTGAAATGTCTGTTAGGTGAATGAGTGAACATTCATAGATGAAAGGTTGTTAGAAGACGGGATGGATGGTTGGATATAGACTTGGGTTTTTGGTTAAATCAATGGATGGGTAGTTAAGTGGGCAGATGGTTGAGCGGAGGGATGGATGGATGCAAGAGCAGGTGCATTACAAACCAGAGCCTCAGTGAATGAGAGTTGGTCAAAGAAAGGATGAAAATATGGGCAAAAGAATGGGTGAGGAAACAGAGTAGGCCCATCAGTGGGGGGCACATCTGGTTCAGAGGAAACCAGAAAGGCTCCCCTGTTTAACGGCATCCAGTAAGCCACTCCGCAGTTCTGTGCGTGTCTTTGAGAACACCAACTTCTGTGTCCTTTGAGGGGCTGTGGGTACAGAAACATGGGGGACAAACTTGATAACAAATGGGGAGAAAAATATGCCCTTGACAGTGAAGCTGTTGCGTCTGGATGGCCTCACATTGGTCTCAGATGACTCAATCTCTCCAACCGGGACAAACGGATCTCATCCCTTGGCAATTGGAACAAAGAAGAGCCGTCATCCATCCTTATTCTAATAGCTACAGTCTCCTACAACTCATGTCAACAGCTGTGGCCCAGCTGCACTGTCCTACCCAGCAGGCTGGGTGTGACCACACTCCTCCCATGGAAACAGCACCCAGTGTTCCGACTCCAAGGAATCTCCCAAGGAGTCTGGAGGTGGTCCTACACTGGCCATGACTGGGGCTCCAACACAGATTTAATTTGCCCAAAGAATGCACCAGGGTATAATGGAGACCACAGTGAGGGTGCCAGGCATCAAGGAAGAACAGCTTTTTTCCCCCATGATCATACATTCAAAATTAAAGCTTTTGGTGGCAAATGTGTTTTCAGCCATCTAGAACCTTTTGTCAAAAGCTGGTGGACAGCTCCCTCACATCCATGTGTGCCCCTGTGCACATAGCAAAGGAAAAGCCCTCTGAGCTCTGTCATCTCCATCCCAGGCCTCATCTTAAATGTGAGATAAAGGACAAAATGAACAACTAATTCCTTTTTCTCTATTCTGTCACTTTAAACAGTTTTGGGTTGGGGTTTTTGTTGTTTTAGTTGTTACTGTTTTTTTAGTTTTGTTTTGCTTGTTTGTTTTTGTTTTGAGACAGAGTTTCACTAGGTTAACCCTGGCTAACCTGCTCTAATAGATCAGGCTGACCTCAAACTCTGTTTCCTGAGTTCTGGGATTAAGGGCATGTTCCACCTTGTCCATGCTTAAACATAAATTCTTGTCCACTTGGCTGTGTCTATGAATAATTTCTGAAGTTCCACAGTAACAAACTCAAACCAATGGCTGATCATAAAAATGAAGAGGACTGTGGCTCATAAAGGAAGAGCCCCAGACGGCAGAGCTTCCTCCCAGTGGTGTGGGTATTTATAGTCTCAGTGTCAGAGCACAACACCAACTAGAACTTCTCCAACTGTGGGTCTAAGAGGACCCTGAGGGGTACCCCAGTAAAGTTCAGATTTTTGTCCCTTCCTGGAGAGATTCTAATTTGGTGTGGGTGGGTAAGACCTCCCATTTCTAATGAGCTTCTGAGTGACATCAATGGTAGTAGCCCAGGGAACTCACCCTGACCAAGACCATTCTTGGCCCGATGCCTGGGTGCATAGCTAGGCTTGCATACTTTCAATAATGGAACATGCCTTTGTGGCGCACGCCTTTAATCCTAGCACTCAGGAGGCAGAGGCGGGTGGATCTTTGTGAGTTCAAGGCCAGCCTGGTCTACAGAGTGAGATCCAGGAAAGGCGCAAAGCTACACAGAGAAACCCTGTCTCGAAAAAACACAAACAAAAAACAATAATGAAACAGCAGCGTCTCCCTGGACACACACCTCTGGGAGGAAGCTCCCTACAGTTCAGGGCCAGCTAGCCTAGCCTACTTGTCAAGTGCCAGGCCAATGAGAAACCCTCTCTTAAACAAACAAGCAAACAAATAAACAACAACAACAGTGTACAGGAATGAAAATCCATAGTCTTCCCTCTGGGCTTCACATGTACACGCACACACCCAAATACACATGTGTCATCCACACATACAAAACATACACATGTGCATACAAATGAGAATTAAAATAAATAATAAAGTAAATATCCACACTGTATCTCTGTGAAACTTCATTAACTTTTCCAGACTTAAGGTTTGTGGTCTTTGAACTGAGTTCCAGGGCCATTTTCACTAACAATAAAGATAATCTTTCGTACAGAAGAATGTGTAGGGCATGGCATAACACTAACATTGCTTAAGAAAACAGCATGCTATACATAGTTTAGTGTAAGCATGGACCATATGCAAATGACCCTGTTGTGTGTAACTCAGTTCATAACTTAGTCAAGTTGTGAAGTAAGACAGGACCAGCTTGTACTGACACAGAAGTAGGAAGACAGAATTATGACTTGACTATAAATGCAAATGCAAGCAAAAAGCTTTTTATCTACTAAATATTCTAAAACTCAGCTAATCTCTGAATTTGTCTGGCTTTCTGTCTCTTCTCAATTCCACCACCTCTTGCTGGAATTCCGGACATGGCCTATATGTTCCCACCTTCCAAACAGCCCCAAGGCCAGCAGTGCAGTAGGTAACAAATGGCCGGTCCTGGACAGCTCTGCCACCTCCTCTCATGTCGCTGGAAGAGGGGCCTCTGACATTCCTCAAACTCAGTGCAGTGTGTAGAGGATTGGGTGGGAACTCAGATGATGGGGAGGTGAGTGAACACTGCTTCTGACCACCTTCTATTCTGAGGTGTTCACCGGGCCAACACAGCTGTCACGGAGTGTGTGGTCGGGGGGTGTCCCCCTCCCCTGGTTCAGACTACATTCCGCCTTCCCAAGAGCCAAGCAGTCAGTATCTTTCCAAGTCATCTTCACTTGCACATGTTTCACTCATGCGTCATCACAGGTCCCCTCTGTGACTCTGGAGGCAGATTAAGAAAAGCTTGTGTTCTGTCTTGGAAAGAAATAAGCAATACTCTTGGATTCCTCTTCGGCCAGTTTATAAAAACAATTAAAGGCAGCACCGGAATGTGCCAAGTGAAGCCAATTCTAGAAATGTCCTCCCGTGTGGCCCACCTGGGACCTCTGTGTGCTCAGACCTCAGAATTCTAGGGGACTTATACAAATGGGGGCCCTGGCTTCAGCTGACCCTGCAGAGCCACTCACATCCCTCTTCCTGTTTCCACACGGAGAGCGCTTTCCTGGGGAAACACTCCTCACCTTAGAAAGCACATTTGGCAAGAGGATCTGGGCATGCTCAGCCATTCCTTCTCCTGCTGATCTCTAGGTAACACAAGTGTCCCTCTCGGTAGCTTATGGTCTGCTCATGACTGAGGAACAAGCTTGGGTTGCCATATTAGGATACTGATGGCCCCACATCCATCTTCTGCAGCTCTCTGGATGGGCTGTGAGGCCTGCTCCTGGCACCAAGAGCACACAGAGAACCCTAAGCAGGGCTTGTCTAGGGCTTCCACACCTTAGCAGCTTTGCTCACGGTTTCTTCCAGTGAGAAACTTTTCCTCCTCCTCACTTCTACCCATGCCTGTCCTAACAGGTATAACACAAACATCACCTCCATGGCCTTTGTAGACCTTCTCAGCTGAAAACGCATCCATTGTCCAAATGCAGCATCTCAGGCTTTTTGACCATGACCCACGGTAGGAAATATTGTCTATCTCATCAAAGTACAGGTAAACATACACGTGGTTACATCTGTCTGTCTAGATGTAACTACCTGATAAGTAGGCTTAATAACAGTTTCATGATGTACAGTTTATAGTTCTATTAAGGTATAACTGAAAAAAGAGATAAATCTGAACTACCTAATATGAAATTATTCTAAGGTAAAATTAAGTTTAAAATAAAAACTACATAATAAGAACAAGTATAGTTTGTGGCCACTGGTATTTATTTGAAGGAGGCTGCACATAGATAAATACTGGACAACTCTGCTGACCCCAACACAAACAGATGAAAACAACTGAGGAAATAATCTGTCCTCTCTTTGTGTACTGCTAGTCCTAGCCTCTAGGATAGCACATAGTAGGTGCCCATAAAAGCTTAATAAGTTGAGCTAAGCACTTCATAAAGTCTCCTAAACTTACCCACCCATCCTTCAACCCATTACTAAGCATTTACTGGAGACCTGCTATGTGCCGAGCATCAGGACGATAGTGATCCTGGACTGGTTTTGACACTGGGACAAAGAGCAAGCATGATGTAAGCAGAGACTGGAAGAACTACTGCATGTGTGAGTGTGCTCTGGGAAGTCAGCTGTCATGATATGAGATATCCAGGAAACACAGAAACGCTACGTGGAAACAATCCTAAGCCCTCAGATGGACAACTCCAACTCAGCTCCCAGTCAGTCCCGACCACTTAGGATGCCCCAGTCAAGGCTCCAGACATGGCCCAGGCAATATTACACAGAGAAGAAGAACTATCTACCTGAGCCCAGTCCATTCCCAGAACTATGAGACATGATAAAATATTTACCATTTTAACACACTATATTTTGGTGTGGCTTGTTCCAAAGCAATTATCTAAGTAAAACATTAGACAGAACACTTCCTAACTCTGTTGCCTTTAATTACAGTAGAATTCTAGGCAACATAGAGTCCCAGTAGGGTTGTTATCCCCATGTTATTCCCCAAGCTGAGAATCAACTGGAGCCTCCGTAAGTATTCACCATCCCTGAGAGCTGATCACAGGAGGCAACATCATCCAAGTTCAGAATGCCACCTTCACTCTCTAGCTAACCTTATGTTCTCCTGAGTATCTAGACAGTTGGGGGTGCCCAACATTGTATTAGAACAAAAGCATGCATCTAATTATCTTTCAAAACATCTTTCTCCAAAAAATGGACTTATTTATAGTAATGCAAATTGTCAATTTCCTGAGTACAATGCAATGCTTACATGCAGTTTCAGATGAGAATTAAAGGTCAAAAATCTTTAGCCTTGGTCTCAGACTTTAGGCAATGCCCCAAGCTATTATGGAAGCTTTCAAGGGAAAGTATGAGTAGGCCCGATCTACTTGCACCCCTTGACGCTGCTGTTGGGCAGAGTCAGGTTTTGGGTAACAGATTTGTCCACATGGTGGTAGAGCTGAGGGGTTGCCCTGAACCTGGGGTCCTAGACCCACCGATTTGCACCAACCACATGGTCGTAGCTAGGAGAACACAAAACAAGATGTGCATTTCCAAAGCCAATATCCAAGCTGGAGAGGCACAGAGACATCACCTTTCCCGACGTCTTCACGCCCTTCCAGAGGCTGAAGTACAGGACGATGATGACGACCATCAGACAGAGCAGCAGCTGCCACTGAGGCAGGCCGATGTCATGGATCCCACTGCTCTCATGCAGATGAAGAACACCGCGCCTGCGAGCAGGAAAGAGGACAGCATCAGGGAGGATGACCAAGTGCCTAGGGAATGTGACAGGACCCGCCACTCAGCTACGGCCCGCACCCAGGATGGCCTGCTGGAGTGCCACCTACTAGCCCTGAGAGCATGATGACAGGACAGGGAAGGCCCCTGTTCTCCAGAGTTCACTTTCTAAACTGGCAGTTCACAGTAGGAGAAAGAACAGTGTCCACACACACAACAACCCCTAAACAGTAAAATCCACCACTAGTAGAATTAGTGTTCACCCACACAAAATACCCCCCAAAACAAAAGTTCACCAATGGTAGAATGGACAGAGTGTGGCATACTAGGAAGCATCTATGCCCATGGAAATGAACCTTTCATATCTTATGGCAGACAATCAAATGAGCATTTTCTGTCTGATTTCATGCATATGAAGTTCTGTGAAACTTGGAAAATTAATCTAGATGGTTAGGAGTCAATCTGGACTGGAAGTGAGGGTTGCCGCCTAGGGAGGGACCCATGGGCATTCCTAGGGACCTGTTTCCTGAGCTGGGTGCTGGTCACATGGCTGTGTTCAGTTTGTGACAGTCACTGAGCTGTCCCTTTTTGATATGCATTTCTTTGTGCTATGTTGTCCTTCCATAAAATGCATTTTTAAGCAATGAAAACAGACAGAATAAGCATTCTGAAAGCCTGAGACCCTCACATACCATGTACAGTGAGGGAATGAAAATCATGACAGTAAGCAAATGACAGCTTGTTAATTAGAACCCAAAGTCAATAAGACAAATAGATAACATAGTAGCTCAGGTCCCAGGAACTGGGTGTCCCACAGGGTACAGAGGCTCACAGACAACTCCACACCCTAGGAAGTCAGCAAGGAGAACAGAGAGTACCTTAGTGGGACCTTTGACCACACCTATGTCATGCATTCCTCTGGAAAGGTCGGCTCCAGGCTGGCCTATCTGGACCACAGACACCTGGGAGGCCCCTGCCATGCAGTCCCTGCCTTCATGGGGGTTATATCCAACATCGGCAGTGGCATTAAGTGTAAAATCACAATAAAGAGTCACAAATGTGAGTAGTCAGGGAGCTACAGGGGGCCCCCAGAATGGTCTCCACCTACCTGTCTCTGAGTGCCACACTCAAAGGCCACAGCTGGCCGGCAATGCTGCCTCCAATGTCTTTTCCTCCAGAGGGATTCACCAATAACCCTTGCCATATATCTTTAACCCTTTCAGTTCCCATGGCTCCTGACTCATCTGCCAGAAGAGCATCTACTTGGGACACCAAGGCTGACTGCATAGTTATCTCTCAGTATCCCTGGGGGATTGGTTCCACAACCTTCCACAGATACCGAAATCTGTAGATGCTCAAGCCCCTTAGATAAAACGGCATTGTACTGGGTATTTCATACACAGCTTCTTTTGTGCATTCTGTATCATCTCTAGATTACTTTAACTACCTAGTATCAGCACACGTGCTGTTCTGTAGCACTGCAGAGATAATGGAAAGACACAGACATTCGTCTGCTCCTGTTCAGAATCGACACATTTTTCACAGTGTTGATAGCGAGGTTCACCACACAAAGGTCTTCCAGGAGAGAGAGGTAGATAAATCACTCCTGGGTTTCCAGGGCTCAGCCCAGGTCTGGCAGCTACGTGTTGTATTCAAAACAGACAAATGTTCTCAACTCTTCTAGTTAAACCCAGCAGTCCATCTTCTGTTTTAGAAATGAGGACCCTCCACTCGAGGAAGAGCTACGGAAGGAAGAAAGGTGAGTCTCCGACATGCTGGTTCTTCTCGTAAGTCCTCCTCCTCCTTGTGGGAAAGCCCAGCTCTCCAGGTCCTTCATACTGCCCAAGGCAACCTCCCATCTCCCCACATAGGGATTTCACTTCCGTGTGTCATTCTGCAAATGTCTGTGTTCAGCTTCAGAGAGAGGCTGGTTATATAACACTGAAGTGTTACATGCAAGCAGCAGGTTCCTACGCTATCCTTCCTTAGAATAAAACACTCATTCAAAAGGACCCACTGGTGGCAAAATCTTCATACATCTTTGATGGGAAGACAGTTAACTGTCTAAAATATATCTATATAAATATTTATATTTGTTATCTAATATTTATGAATACATATGTGTATCTGCCTTCTCAGCACCCTCTTCCTCTTTGTCCCCCAAACCCTTTATATCACCCTCCTTTCCTCTTTTTCTCCCCCTGCCCCCGTTTTCTTTCTCTTCTTCCACCTTCACCTAAAGAGAATTGTGGTGGTACTGTGTTCCCCAAAATATTGTGTACCTTAATAAACTTATCTGGGGTCAGAGAACAGAAAAGTCACAAGATACTTAGGCTAGAAAATGTTAGCACACGCCTTTAATCCTAGCATTCCAGAGACAGAAATCCCTCTGGATCTCTGTGAGTTCAAGGCCGCATTGGAAACAGCCAGGTGTGGTGACTCACGCCTTTAATCCCAGAAAGCAGCCTTTAATCCCAGGGAGTGGTGGTAGAAAGCAGAAAGGTTTATAAGGTGTGAGGACCAGAAACTAGAAGCATTTGCCTGGTTAAGCATTTGCCTGGTTAAGCATTTGGCTGGTTAAGCATTTGGTTGGTTAAGCTTTCAGGCTTTGGAGCAACACAGTTCAGCTGAGATTCATTCTGGATGAGGACTCAGAGGCTTCCAGTCTGAGGAAACAGGACCAGCTGAGGAACTGGCAAGGTGAGATAGCTGTGGCTTATTCTGTCTCTCTAACCATCCAGCATTTCACCCCAACAACTGGACCCGGGTTTGATTTTATTAATAAGACTCTCTAAGATTCATGCTACAAGAATTATGAAATAAAGGCTTTAATTTGAATATAATTCAGAACCTGCCAGGGGCACCAGTTGTGAACGCAGCCCCGTCTCTGAGCATTTTTCCCTTCAGGAACAGGATTCTCAACTCACACATTAGTATTAATCGTCTAATGTCAAAATAAATCTTTTTCTTCCTTGTTGCTGTTGGATGTTCTGTTTCACTATGTAGCCCAGGCTGGCCTGGAACCCATGGCAATCTTCCTGCTTCAGTCTCCCATGAGCCACCAGAACAGACAAAATCAATCTTTTAAAAGATGTTTTATAGCATAAAGAGATCTGCTGCTGTCTATTCACTCTTAACCAATTAAGTCAGAGCCTCTGGGGAGTTGGTACTTGGGCAGTAATGTCTTTGATTGACAGCCAAAGATTGAACCTACTACAACAGAGGCCTACCCAAATGACAGGCTTCTGCTAGACCAATTTGAGCCTTCCAGAAACTGTCTACTTTAGTGGTATAATACAATTGGCTTTCTGTACTTGAGGAAGAGAAGGCTCAGGGAGGCTTCTGAGAAGTGGGCTTGTAACTCTTGTGGAAGCCTGGGTGCTTGGAGGAGCGCACAGGTAAGGGTAATGGGAAGTTGAACCAACTTGACTAGACCAGCTCAAAAAATCAGGCTCAGTGCTGCTGAGAGTGTATACTCCCAGTCTGGAGATCCATGAGCTTTCCTCTGAGGAGTTAACACTTGTGAGTGGCCTGTAAAAGTGTGAAGACCACTGCTAATGCTATCTGCTTCATTCATTCATTCAGTAATTCATTCATCCCTATCGGATGTCTAGTATTTGCATGAACAAGAAAGGAAGTAGAAGAACGTGGCACAGAAGCTTTCCAGGCTCCCACAGTGGGCCCTGTCCCTGGATCCTGTTTAACCTGATTCCATGCCTAGCCCCAAGCCCTCTGTAGCTCTGCTTTGATCCAGGCTATGTGTTAGAGGCTGGTGACTCTAGCCTGCATGAAGCCCCCAGGATAGGGCCCATGCAAAGAGGCTCATGCTAACATCTTTAGCAAAGGGCCCTCATGAGGATTGTGGGCCATACCTTGAGCCCAGGAAATGCTTCACAAATGGCAGCTGTGGCTATCAATGCATCTGGGGCTAGGCTTCAGGGAGCAGTAGCAGGTGTCTGCAGAGGAAGCTGAAGAGCATTCACAAGGCTCCACAAGGAGTGTGAGCAGGCCAGGCTCTTCTGACAAGGCTGCTAGCAGCCAGGAGAGCACAGGATGAGCTGGGCGCAGAGGTGGAAGGCATCATTTGTGAATGATGAATGAAGTTGTGTGAGTGATCAAGACCTACAGAGACCCGCATCCCCTAATAGCCAGTCTCTGAAGCCCCAGGTCACCCGATTTGGCTTCATACTGCTCACCATGTCTCAAATCCTCCTAAACAGTCCCTATGTCTGGCCCTTGCTAGTCCTGGCTCTGGTTCTCACTAGCCTGTCCCATATCAGACCCCTTATCCTCTCCCTCCAAGACTATTGAAAAGGTCACTGGATCCCTCAATCCTGGTCTCTCTGCCTCACACTAGCTCTCTTAAATCCACTCTCTACTACTGGGAGATGACACCTGTGCACATCGGTCTAACCCTGTCACTTTTTTGTCTCCAAATCCTCAGAGGCCCCCTATCACCTAAAACAGAGCTTCTCACTACTTCCTGTGTCTGGATCTAACACATTGTACATGGAGGGAAACAGCTGGTGCTGGTATCCACTGAGTAGAGGCCAAGGTCACTGCCAAACATACAGGACCATGGCTACCCCACCCCGCTCCCCAGAAAGAATCATCCTACCCCAAATTACGCATGTCAAGTTGTGAAGTCTAGCTCTAGGAGGTATATAAGCCCGCCAGCATCAGGCAGCCTTCAGAGCTCACCACTGCCAAGTTCATGCCTCCCTCGCCACACCTGCCTTTTGCTCCCGGCAACAGCAAGACACTTGTCTATACTCCTCAGACGCTCCCCGGACCCCAGGCAAGGGTCTTGGAAACTTCTGTTCCCGCATCCTAGAATACATTTCCCAACCCGATTTGTCAGCCTGGCCAACCTTTGACTCCTGCTGTTCTCAAACCGGAAGTGGTTCCCTGACTTAGAGCCTTTATTTCCAGAGAGAGACATGATGGAAGGTGGGAAGGGAAAGAGAAGAGATGGGAAGAGAAGAAAGGAGAAACGGAGGCAGTGAGGATAGAGTGGAATGAATGGCTGAATGTGACCAAAAATAGAATGAATAGTCTAGCCTCACTTGATACTTAATTCTGCTTCATGTCGTAGTTTTATGAGTCCAATGTGCCAATTGTCATTTGGCTAATTTGACTGTTAAAAATCACACGCACACATGCGTTAGCTCTCTCTCTCTCTCTCTCTCTCTCTCTCTCTCTCTCTCTCTCTCTCTCTTCAGAGACTCACCCCTGCTTGCCTGAAACTTGGGAAAATGCCTGAATGTCTAGTCACACAACTGAAGTTGCTCTCACGGAACATGCTTCCCCACATGCATCTGAAGAACCAGACTCCAGAGCTGATCATGGAGAAGAGAACTGAGGGCCAACCTCCCAGGCTGTGAGGTTGGCACGAGTAGCTTGGGTTTGTATTCCTTTTCTGGCAGCTTAATGGATGTGAATCATCACTGAGGGCACCATCCAGGTTTTCCTAAGCCTTCGGGCCAAAATGGCTCCATTTCTCACTTGACATTTAAGCGGGAAGGGTTAGTATTAGGGAGGAGGGAGAATTCCCTTCCTCGCCAACAGTGTCATGGGTAAAAATTTTCTATCCTGACACATTCACTGAAGGTGTCTTTTCTAGATAAAGACCTTAGTGGCCTTCAGCAGTGGAGCTGTGTGGCTTCAGGCCCAGAGTCTGGGGAGAGGAGTAGTTTTGTTCCCTTGAATGATATGTTCAGTCTGTCAGCCTAAATGAGTACAAGATGGCAACAAACTTGACCAGCGTGCCTGGGGAAAAAGAAGGAATTACCCAACCTCCACAGCGCTGGCACTGGGACTCACATTTGCTGGCTCTCCAGACAGAGTTGAGTTGTCTTAAAAGCAGAAGTATTTCAATAAAAGGGAAATGTACTACAGAAAATCCAAAGGCAGCCCCTGACAATGCTGTGCTCTGGAAAGTTTATAGGCAGGACTGAGGGAAGGGAGGTGTGAGAAGGGTTCCTGACTACCAGCAGAGGCCCCTTCTGAGCCAGACCTCTGAGACGAGAGCCCTGGGGCAGACGCAGAGGCCCAGTTCTGCCTCAGACCTAAAGCTGGGCCTCTACTTAGTTGTCTGACAATGCCACTCATTTTCTGCCTCCACAAATGGGGAGAATAAGGTAGGATTCAGATGTCAAAGCATGCTCAGAATCCAGTTCAGGGTAGCCATGAAGGCTTGTGGGAGCAGGAGACAGAGGAGGGGAAAGGAGAAATCTATAGAGCGGAAGGTTTCCGACACTCTCCCTGCCTTCTGCTCTCTCCCCTAGGCCCCCAGGCCCCTGTGTAACCTTAGACAAGAATGTTCTCCTTCCACCACGAGGTTGGGCCTGGAAGGAGCTCAGAGCAACCATAGCACTAGGTCTCTTCTCCCTCCTGCTGTGCCTCTCTGCGGGAGTCGACATGCTGGCCACTCTGGGGAGGAATCAAATACTAACCAGACCAAGATGGGGGTGCTTTCATTTACCACTTTAATTTATAAGAACAATGACCGCCGGGAGCTAAAGAAAAACAATGCTGTTTGCTCTGTGAGAGGAGCATGCCGGGAAGTATGGATCAGCAGTACCCCCAGCCTCCATTTTTCACTGTTTCCCTGTCCAAACCACACTCATAAAATATGAAAGAACTCCCAGAACTTTAGCCCATAAACTCTGCTACAGCTCTGGGGTCTGAGTCCATGCTCCTCTGGAGAAGAATGAAGGAGGTGCTAGATTTCCTATGGCATGAGACCCCACGGGGACAGGGAACTGTAAGGACTAATCCTTTCGATGATGGCTGGATGGTAGGATTCTGGGGAGAGACTGAGAACAAAAGTCCATGTGCCCTAGATGTACCCAGGCTGGTAAGATCCTGGCAGCAGAGCCTTTGAAACTCCCCAGGTGACTGCAATGTGTAGCCAAGATTTCACTTCACTATACTAAGAGCTTGGTCCTTGGACTGTGCTAGGGACAAACTCGCTTCCAATGCTGCTTCGAAACTGGGGACCTGGGACGAGGCATTTGCTGATTTGCTCCCATTTCCTCGTTCATAGAGCAAGCAACATTTCAGATGACAATGGTCATAACGAAAAGATAGTACTAACCAGGTTCCCTCCTAATGGGAAGCTCCGTAAGCAGAAAGGTAAACAACTCAAAATAGTTTCCGGAAGTCCTTGAAACTGACCAGATTAACTAGGCCACTGAATGCCAGAGTAAGCAATAAAAGCTGACGGTTCCTCTGAGAACAGAGCTGCCAAAAAGACTCTCAGAGGAGAGAAGCTGTGAAGACTCTGAGACCAGTTCAGCTGCCTGGAAGAAGCAGAAACCAGCAGATATACCTAGAAAAGCTTTCGACCACAGTCACTTGAAAAGGACACTTTCCAACCTGTTGAGCTGCCTGCAGATTGTGCAGTGTGCTCCAGGATCCCAGCTTTGGGGAAGTGTCTGTCACCCATGCTGGGGTGGACTTTGGTGATACAACTGTTTTTGAGTCATTTCTGCTCCAGTAAGTAACCAACACCTTACTGACTTCCCTGTAAATAACCCCAATGAAACTCATGGTTCACCAAGTTGGACTTTGGTGGTATCTGTACTTTCGTCTGTTGGGGTTTGTGTATGACCTGGGAGATAAATCAGAATATATAATCTATGTTTTTGTTTAGCAGAGTGTGGGGCTTCTGCAATGGATCTAATGAGCCTTGAAAGTGGAGTGCAGTGGGGTCTACCTGTCCTGTTCCACGCCTGTGGTCTGGACTTTGTGCTCAATCACCAACATGTGTATAGGGTATTGTTCAAATGAGGCTCACTCGTATTGGAGGGATCAATTGAGGTTGTCTTCTGAGGACAGAAACATACTAAGTTATGTGACAGAAAACAAGCCAGCCACTCCCTTCACCAAGACCTAGAAAAACAGAGCAGAGACCAAGAGGCCAACAGGGTGAATAATGATGGCTCAGGAGTCAACCACAGATCAAATAAATATTCAGGATCCCATTCTGATTCAAGTGAGTAAACTGGATTAAATACATGAGGGGAAAAGATGGTCTTTACAGGAGGGCTCTACTCAGTTATTCTAGAAGGAATGATGGAAATAGCAAGCGACAATTAAACGCTATAACAGAAATCCTTACCTGCAAAAATTAATAATAGGCACTATAGGTTAAAGTATGAGAAACAGCATACTTGCATAACCTTAAAGTACCTCTCTGAAAGGCAAAAATTACCAAAGTAAAAATATCTCTATCCTGGAAGACGCTGGCAGCTTCCACCTTTGCCACGTTCAAGGTTAACATCACAGGTAACAAGACAGATTGGCATCATGTCCTCCAGACAAGGCTCACTGAGAAAAGCGCCACAGTGCCTCTATGGTGCCCTTGACGAAAGTGTACAACCTCAATCAGAAAGTGAGAAAACAACAAATAAATCCATCTTGACATATATTTCATAGACTCACTGGCCAGTACTCTGTAGAAGTATCAAGGTCATGAAACCCAAGGAAAGCTCAAAGAATGCACCCATATTGGAGGGGACTAAGCAGATGTGACAACCAAATATCATAACATGATGTCGAGAAGTGTGAAATTCACATGAGGTCTTCAGTAGACTAGCTAATAACATGTGAGCATTAATTTTCTGATTTCCATAGTACAAAGCGGCTACCCAAGGTGTCAACATTAGAAGCTGAGAAGGAAGGGCCCCATGTACTGTTCTTACAGCTTTTCTTCTTCTGAAATTACTCCAACTGAAATGCTATATATTTTTTTAAAATATTCTGTCCACTGCCACCAGTCAGTCACACACACACACACACACACACACACACACACACACACACACACACACACACCACTGTAAACATACTGTTTCCAAGCTGCATACATCTGGTTTGATCCCCCCAAATGGGGGCCCCCAGCATGAGGTATATGGAAGAACAGCTTCAGGACCAGACAGATGTAGATTCCAGTTATGGAGCCACTATCTACCAGTTAGCTTCAGGATATTTTCTTGGCTGACATCATCAGTTCCTACAGTCACTTCCTCTGAGCAGCTGTCCTTCCCATGAGTTCCCACTCTTCCGCATACTTAGTTTTAGTTCTTTTTTTTTTGGTTTTTTCGAGACAGGGTTTCTCTGTGTAGCTTTGCGCCTTTTCCTGGAACTCACTTGGTAGCCCAGGCTGGCCTCGAACTCACAGAGATCCGCCTGGCTCTGCCTCCCGAGTGCTGGGATTAAAGGCGTGCGCCACCACCGCCCGGCGATTAGTTTTAGTTCTTAAGTTCTCTGCCTTTTATGTCCTACAGACCACACACCACCTTTAATACCATCTTGCTTCCTGTCCAAATGCTGACATACTGGCTCCCAACCTCCACTCTCCTGTCCTATACCAGAGGCTCCACCAGGTGCTCTATACACTCCTGTATCTTCTGTTCTTAACTTGGCATCAAGCCTGCACCTTTCAAATGCTGACTGCCATGGCCCTAGCTGGTCTGTAGCTTTCCTGAATGCCTGGCTCAGCTCCTGTCCAGGCCTGAGTATGCAGGTGAGGCACCCATGACTTACTCATAAAACTCGGCAGCCGGTGTGAACTTGTATTTGGAGTATTTGGTATGGTCTCCCAGCACCGAGGCGTTGAGGAGTTTGGGGTCAGTGCAGTTGGGGCTGTTCCAGGCATGGCCACAGTTGGTCCAGGGCAGGTTCAAGGTGAAGGATGCAAAGAGGTAGTAGAGTGACCAGGCAATGATGACATTGTAGTAAAAGCCAACATAGAGGGCAATGAGGATCACCGCGTAGCCCACTCCTGTGTGGGGACAAAGAGGTCAGGCTTTCGTCCCAGTCCCAAGGCTCTCCCCCTCACCCCTGGAAGTTGGCTCCAGCCACAGCACACTCCTGCACCTTCCCTTTTCTGGATCGGATTGCCAGAGCCCCACCCATAATCTTTTGCCACCGTAGCTCTCTTGGTCCACTCATCAGGTAAACAGAAGTGCCGGGGCCTTAATATTATATCAGGTATTGGAGTGTAAACACTACAGCTCCCTCGTCACTCAATCAGGATAACGCAGGGGTGTGTTTCACATCTCTCTCCCTACCTGCAGTGAAACTGGCCAGTGACAGGCTCCTTCACTAGAGACAGGCTTCCTGTCTCCAACTGATGTTCCTAAGACCCTGTCACCTTCCCTGGTAACTCCTTATGTGTAAATCCTTCCCCAGGACCTGCTTCTAGGGGAAGCTCCAACCAAGCACTCCCTGACAGGTTCTCAGCAGTGTGCTCACAGGGTCCAACTTCAACCAACTGTGTCCTGTGTTAACATACTGACTGAAAACTTACGAACCTCCTGGAGGATTATAGTTGTGGCTCTTTTTTTTTTTAAGAGTAGAAAATTTTCTTACACACTCATTGCTTTAAGGGATTATCCTCAGCATTTTCTTTTTTCTTCTTTTTTTCAAGATAGAGTTTCTCTGTGTAACAGCCTAGCTGTCCTGGAACTTGCTTTGTAGACCAGGCTGGCCTCAAACTCACAGAGATCCATGTGACTCTACCTCCCAAGTGCTGGTATCAAAGGCATGTGCCACCACACCTGATGATCCTCACTAATTCTTAGTGCTGAGATTTAATCCCAGCTTCCTTGATACAGTCTTAGCCAATCAGAGTGTTGCTTCCCTGTAGCTACACTGATTGGTTAACAGACAGTCATAGGACTCAAGTCAAACCAGTGAAGCTTGCTCTGGGTCTTTTTAGTGAAGCCATAAGTACATAAGGATTTTTTATTGTTGTTGTTGTTTGCACATATGTTTGTTGTTTTCAACTGTTATATTTGGCAGAATTTAACCTTGTAGCTGCTAGTGGCCGTCTTTGTTAGCAGTTGATAAGAATGCATCTGGGAATGATGTCAATATAGGAGAAAATAGACCTGAGACAGAGAGATTCCAGACCAGACAGTACTGTTTGAGCACCTGGATCAAGTTGCACCTGACCAGACCCTAGACTTTAACATAAGCCAATAAGTCAAAGTCTAATGGTATATATTTATATATTTATTTATTTATTTATTATTCATGGCTTCATTAAAGAACCCCGGGAAGCTTTCACTGGTTTGATTTGAGTCATATACATATATATGAAAATTCCATAATGAAAGCCATCACTTTGTATGCTAAGTTTATAAATAGTCAAAATTTGTGAAAACATAAAGAGAACTAAAAGCTATATTGAGTTGGATTTCAGGTAACTAAACAGAAAAGATGCTAATCCATGTATTTTGTAAGACCTTTATGTCAACCTGTCCTTACCATGGACTGAGTATATACAAGGTGCTGAAGAGACTCTTGCCACTTAGGAAGAGGCTCGTGGGAGACATATTTGTCCTCAATGTCACTATTTTTCTAACCAGTGTTTGAGAGATACTGGCCTTGCTCCACACCCTTCTTCCAACATTCTAGGGGATGGAGACTGACAGCTGTCATGGTTACTTCCCACATACCTGTTCTAAATTCAAGTACAAGTTCATCTTACAGCCATCATGGCTGTTATAAGCTTTCTAAGGCAGCTTTCTGCTTGAACTTGAAGGCATCCATGATCAACTTATCATGCCTGCCATGGGAGAAAGAAATGAAAGCAGAAGTATGTGTGCTGAGATCCCTGCTATCTTTGTATTTCCCATATATAAAAATACTCTGTAGTCATTCACTCAACAGTGGGGCCTAGCCTGGAGTCCAAGTTTAAGGCTACACTTGATATAACCTAATTTCTTGGTGTAAATTTAAATGGTGGACAGTCTTGACCTTGTCAATGCCTGTGAGCCCCATGTGAGAGTTGGTCTGCCTTAAATCTCCCCTTGGGAGCAGATTCTTCAGAAGGCACCAATATTTGGAGAAAATATTTGACTTCCTTTAGATCATCCCTACCTTTGAAGAAAGGGCAGATCTTCCACACCGTGGCTGCCCCTTCCCGGTTGTACTGCCCCAGAGCCAGCTCCATGTAAAACAGTGGCATCCCAGCAATGATGAGGAACAGCGTGTATGGGATCAGGAAGGCACCTGCAAAACACAGACACAGCATTAGACCTACAGGATAGCTGCCCCTTAAAGGGCTGCAGTCAAGAATCTACAATAGCTGTGAGGATCCTATTCATCTGCTTCATCTGGCGGTTTCCCAGGGCAGGTGTGTCTTGTGGCAATAGAGTTATGAAGAACACTTGGTATACATACATCAGCAAACATGGCAGTCATCGTGTTCATAATCATCATAATGCATATCTACAGCCAGATAAATAAAATCTGAGTGAAACAAAGCTAAAGAGCTGTGTTTCCACAGCTTCTCATGGACTTTGGTGCATGGTACATGCCATGAAGCACCACAAGATATAGCCTCTACCAAACTAGTCTAAACACAGAACCTCCCCTTTCATGAAACTTCACTCTGGAACCTTGCAGGCAAGCCCAGCCTTTCCTTTCACAGGCAAAACAAAGGAGACCGGACAAGGAGAGACAGCACAACTAATATCATGGGAGGTCTCACATGGCTTCCCAAATCCTAATTTTCCTGCTTTCCCATTAGAATGCCACAGCAAACCGTGAGAGAATGATGCAATCAGGGTCAGTGTGTCTCCTGGGGGACATTGCTAGGCAGAGAGAGAAGTCAGCGCTTCCTGATGGCATTGTTGATAAGTGACAGAAGGATTCTCCTTCAGACTTCCTTCCTGTCCGTGGGGCTCATCCTGCTGTAGGCTGCTGGAGGAAAAGGCTGGTACAAAGAGGCCAGAAGAAGCCCATTCCCTGGGGTGGAACCTGAAGGGGCTCCTAGGCCACAGGAGACAATCCTGGTGGAATGAGACACGTCTCAGTGCCAAGGCTAAATCTCTGTGTGCCCTGACACCCTTGACGAGCTACATGGATTATCTGGTGCCATGACTCAGGGATGTATGTATGGCAGGTCAACAGGATCCAAGCAACACAGTAGCTAGCTCCTTTCCTAGCACAGCCAACACAAAACCAAACTCCCCCGGACCTCTGACTGAGATGCTCTAGCAGTGGCAGTCTCTGACCCATCCACGTCAGGAAAATGAGCCGAGTTGAGGGTGTGTAAAGGTGACGACACTGAGGATTTTAACACATAGCTCAACAGCTCACTCTGTCCAAGGCCCTGCTGTGGCATGGGCACTTTCCATGCAACCTCATTATATCCTTGTGGCGTCTCTACAGAGCTAAGCTCATTGCTAACTCCATTTTATGAGTGGAAACTGAAGCTCTTCACTAAAAACAACTGGAGCAGAGGTAGACTGTATCCAAGGCAAGCTCACCCAGTGACTCAGTGTCTGCCTTCTGTGTGGAAAGCCTGGGGCTTTCAAGGATAAAGCACGATGTGCTGGTCCTGTTGTTACAAGACCCAAGTGATTTCCAGCTAGACATAGGTCCAGGTTGGAGAGTAGCAGAAACTACTACATATTCGTATCGTACATATCATGCAATCGCAAGTATCTGAGTTCAGCTGTATTACCCAGAACCCCTCTGGCAGCAAACTAGTGCTGTGATCGCTCTCCAGAGGAGGAAACTGGGGCTTCGGGTCAAATCAAGTGAGTTGACCAGGCTTATATACCTGGTGAGTTATAGATATATAATTTGGGCCCTGATATGCCTGGCTTCTGAGTCCTAGGCCTGTTCCCAACATAGCCTGCAGATTCTAGAAGGTTCTAGTGCAGATAAAAAATATGAGTCTGAATAAGATATGGGAAGGGGAGTGTTTTGGGATTGGGGACAAGCCAAGCTATCTGGTCTGTTTGTCATAGGCTAACCCAGCCACTCCAAAGTCTGCTCCAGGCTGGAATTCTTTGAAAGGCCATGTATCAAGGTCTCCTTTCTTCCATTTAACTTCTGCCTTGCCCCCCTCTCTCACAGGAAGGGCCCTTCTGGCATTTGCTCACATAGCTGGCAGGGATAGTGTTGATAAGGACGGTGCTGATGAGTGGAGTCCCTCGGCTTAGTGAAAATAACATGTGCCCTTTAATGGGAACCCAGTCTGTGCCAGGCCACTCGGGTGGTACACAGTATTCATTAGAACTACCCCTGAGAGATAATCACCGCTCTTGCTTCACAGGAAAGGAAACCGAGACTTAGAAAAATCAAGTTGCTTGTCCACACTAGTAAACATTTACATCTTAGGTTCTAAGCTTGATTGGCCTGTGTCCCACTCGGCTGTCACTTGCTACATCCCATGGGGGCCTGGAGCTTGGATCGGAATAGGAAGTTAGGTCCTCAACAGTTGGATAGACCTGAAGACTGAAGTCAGTACCCCAAGGGGAAAGGGGGCAGGGAAGAGGCAGATATCAGTGTTAGATGTTGGTTCTAAGATTTGCCAACAGACAGTCCACATTCCCTTCTACCTGGTCGAGGTAAGAGACCCAGCCAACTCATCACAGGTCTGTTTTAGCCAGTGCTCTTAACTCTAAGCTTCCAGATGGTACCACTGATGCAGTAAATCACTCAGTGTGCATCCCGTCTCCCCTGCTGCTGACTCCAAGTCACCACAAGGTGAGCAAGCACAGACATGGAAGGGGCTGCAGGAGCCACAGCTCTCCACAGTGAGTGACTCTGACGTGACCAACAGAAGCTCCATGGAAGGCAAATCCCAGAAGACTCAAGAACGGTGACACAGGGCACATGGGAGGTTAGAGGGAGGGGATAGAAAGAGTATGTGATATAAATATATGTTTTTTGAGACAGGGTTTCTCTGTGTAGCTTTGTGCCTTTGCTGGAACTCACTCTGTAGCCCAGGCTGGCCTCAAATTCACAGAGATCCGCCTGCCTCTGCCTACCGAGTGCTGGGATTAAAGGCGTGCGCCACCACCGCCCGGCGTGTAATTATATTTTAATTTAAATGTTTTAATGGATATATGGTGAGTATGAACGAAAACCAGAAAACATCCAATGACCCAACATCTTTGCTAAAAGAAGACATTAACTAGCACACTGTGTGAGCTCTCTTACAAAAAGCAAAAACAGGGGTGTGGCTGAAGACTTAGGAAGGGCCTTCAGAGTAGCTGTGGTGGGCTGAGGACATCTCTTCATAACCAGCTTAGCAGTAGCATCATGGAATTAAAAGTTGCTTGAAAATGCACCCGGTCTGCAAGGAACATCACTGTCATGTCCTTGTGTCCCTGTGTGTCTCGTGTGGCTGTACATTGCCACAAGCCTCTCACAGGCCTTGAAAATCCAGAATCCTGTCACAGCTCTGGAATGCCTGTGTTGTGTAAGTGTAGGGCTCACTAGACAGACCTGGGAAAACTGTAGCAGGACACACCCCCCTGGGGACTCAGCTTCTAGGAGGTCCCCCTAAAACATATGACTTCACATCAGCACACACCCGTACATACTCATGCAATGCTAGGACTAGACCTTTGCACACACACACACACACACACACACACACACACACACACACACACACACACAAACATTCACACCACCTTACAAGGAAGAGCAGTATCCATTGAGAAAGAGACTCTGGCCAAAGGGCCTTTGCATCATTTTAGTAAAAATGAAAAAGGATTCATCTCTCAGGACCACTTACACTGCCAGATATCCCACCATTATAGAGGAACTCCACTGGCACAGGAGGTTCTGGAATTTTCCATGTAAATATTGGTTCATCAGGAAGAGAAGCCAGCAGCCTCTAAGGTCACTAGATAGCCACCTGGGAAAGTGAAGGGGATCTGAGGAAAGGTGGTTGGGGACAGGGTAGGAAGGGGCACCCAGAGGAATGTGATGGCCCAAGTCTGAGGAACCAGGATGAGGTGTAGGGAGTGTGGTCCCTGGAAGCTACAACCAGAGAGGAAGGTCATCTAGACCAATCTCCTGAGGACAGACTTCCCTCAGCATTCTGGCCAAACTCTGGTGTGTTCAAGGAGTAAACACACAAAGAGCAGCTTCCTGGATGCCTGCAGCTCAGCTGTGAACTGTCACTGCCTCAGGCTCCCATCAGGCCCAACAATGCCTAGGCCATTACCTAAAATAGCCAGATTTGGCCCCCTCTAGCATCTCAGGGACTAGTGTCTAAGTTCAGCAAGCTACCCGAACTCTTGCAGGACTGGGACACAGTCCTCTTGTAGACATAGCTCAAAATAACAACTGCAGGCACAACTCCTCATTAAAACACATCTTCTTCCTTCTTTGACATGAGACCTTTGCAATAGTTCTGGTAAAAGCTCCAAATTTGGAATTCTCAGCTCTTAGAATTCTAGATTGAACTCTGCTGGCCAAGGCCTTTAGCTCCTTCTCATTTTCAGCCCCGTTGGCCACATAAGAAGCCTCTGGTATATGCTGGTGAGCTCTTCTGTCCTGTGTCTGAGTTCTGGTCCCAGGCCCCCATAGGCAACAAGGCCTTGCACATTATTTAACGTGCATGGGGTCATTTGCCCAGGAAAACCCAGAGCCATGATGGGTGGCATGGATGGGTGGAGGGACAATCCCTCTCTCACTTTTGTGTTGGCTCAAGATGACATCTTACCTGAGCCTTGATACCCAAGCACAGCTCCTTACAAGACTCACGCCACCCTGCAGAATGAGTCAGCTCCTCTCAGAGGTAGTGCGGGTGGGATTTAGGGAGACAAGTTTGGGGGCTACTTTTTTGCACACCCAAACTTGACCTGTCTTTGTGGATTCTGGTTCCCATCTCCTCCATTCCAGTCTCTTTAAGACGAATAATTCTGAAAGCGTTTGGGATGCTCAGAACTGTATTACTACAGGAAATGTGACCCACAAAGAACTGAGTAGGACCTCACTGTCCCCATTTGGAACATCCTTGAAATGTAGTATAACACATCATGAACTTCTAGACTATGTACAGTGGACTACAACTCCTTAGAGGCAGGGATTGTCTTCCAAACATCTCTGTACTAGGGGTTGGCATTAGCCAATGGGTTTCTGCTGAATAAACAGGTCTCTGCTATGAATCACCTGGAGGGTGCCACTAATGAAAGCCCTGGGCCTTCCCCACTGGTCCTAGAATTTAATCCTCACTTAGGCAATTGGGTTTGAGACGACAGGTCAAGATACAGCATTTTTCTCCATTAGACCCCACTTGGTTGGGAACAGCCCTTCAGCTCCTTCTGGCTAGCTCCGAGTAGTGAGTGGGCTGTTGGATGATAATAAGCCCAGATCAGTACCTTACTCCTTCGACGGGGAGGGGAGTGCAGACTCCACTGCTCAGGTATCATGCTGCTTGGCTCCTTGTGCATCTGAGCTAAATAATAAGTGTCACACTATCATGATCCATATGTGGATGGCCCTGTATCCAAGCTAGACATGAAGGTATCAAGTTGGTAAATCCCTGATGTCTATATAAGCACCACTCTCATTAGTAGTATTGAGGATCCTAGGCATTTGGGCAGTGAGGGGAGTATACTGGGAACTTAGAATCCTAGCATCTCATGGGACCCCGTGCAGGAATGCTAAGCCCACAGTCCAGGTGGGCAATCTATAGTGGCACACTATAGTCGGTCTGGACATGGACAAAGCCCAACGTTTGCCTACTAAAGCTGCCACAATATGGCCCCAGGCTTACGGAGTTCTCTTTGACCTTATCTCCTCCATCAATTTCTTTTCAGAATAAATTCTACTTGTTTCAGAATTAGGACTTCATCCTGCACCTATGTTCAGCGCGTAACCAGTATCATCAAAAATATCAAAATGGTAGCATTTCTACTGAGCCCCTGTTACGTGACGTTATCCCAAGTACTTTATCTATATTGTCTGATGTTATCTGGCCCTGTAGAGAGGGCTAAAATTATCCCCTTTCTTTTTTGCACAAGGAAACTGAGGCTTAGGGACACCATATGGCTTGTCCAAGGCTACTTCTCCAGCAAATATCAGAATCTGATTCAAAGCTGGGCATGCTCAAACCCAAAACTCCACAGTCGCCACAAGATCCAATGCAGAATGTCATGTGCAGAGGATAATCTACAGAGGCCACCTCCAGAAATGAGTACTCAGTCACCTACACATTTGTTCCTTCCCAGAAACCAGCACAGACCCAATCTTGGGTTCAAAGGGAGCAATCTGGAACTCACATCCTGTCATCGCAGCAGCTGGTCTTCAGGAAGATGTTCAGACAAGCTGATCTTTGACAGTAATTCATTCATAAAATATTAGCCAGGGGCACAAACTATTGGAACCTTCATCAGTTCAAAACATTCTCTAGTCTAGGCCAGTATAAACACTCCGACTTGGAGAGTTCTATGTTAACACTGGCACCAAAGAACACAAAGACCCAGGGCCAGGCTGCTAAAGGACAGGATGATGAGGCCTGGCTTGTGTCCATCTGTAGTTGGGGCACTGGGGAGCAATGGATTGTGGAAACCATCTAAGATTGTGCCACTTCATAACAGAAATTTTGATGTCTGAGGTCACAGTGAGTGGCAGGATTGGGATTCAAACTCGCCCATCCCTGGAGCTGAATTTAGAATTACTGAAGGAGAATGGGCCCACAAAGGACAGTAAGGGGTCTCAGGGGGGATCAAGGCCTGCCTGCGGGGGCAGCTGACCATCCCCGGAAGCAGGGATGGGAGTACTAAATATCAGACTGCTCTGTTCTTCCAGACCAAGGGCTCTACTACCCATCCCCAGACCAATTGCCAACCTCCTAACCAGCGATGGAAATTCACTGGTGTAGCGGCCCTTCCCCCTCAGCCTAGCACCCAAGGCTTCTGCAGCCCAGCCCCAACTTGCCTTTCAGCCTTATCTCTCCTGGCTTGCCCTCTAGCCAGCTGAAGTTGCTCTTCTGAGGAGCCTGTCCCAGGTGGATGCTAAAATACTGTTTTTCCAAGCCCTCTCTGCCCAGAGCAGCTGAGTTCCAACCAGAACTCACTTGCCTTGAGTCACTGCTCAGCAGCCCCTCCTTAAACCTCTATGGCACCAGTCACTACCTGATCCCTTTCCTATGGCATCCCAATGACACTGATAAATGCAAAGCCACCCTCTCTACGCCATATGCCACACTGGCTCACCACATGCACTAGTGCATTTAGTCCTTGGCCGTCCTCTTAGGTGAACAAGATTATTGGACAGAGGAAGAAACGAAGGCCTGGAGAGTTACCCAGTCTTATATGTTAGAAACTGGAGCCTATAACTTCCCAGCCAAGACTGCTGATGTCTAGGCTATGGCCCCCTACCACACACACAACATCTCCAACATTGTGTTTCTGTCATGGTTTGTGAAATTGGCAATGAATCTCTGAGAGCTTGGGTTACTGTATGAATGTATTTGTTCAATACAAGTGTGTAGGAACCTTCTACTTCATTCCTAGGATTTGAGCCTTATTGAAAATTAAAAACCCAGAGTACGGACCTCTCAGCTTTCCCCAGCCTGCTTGGAAAACTGGTCCACAAAAGATAAAATGTGGAACAACTCAGGATAGGCCACTCCGTGATCAGGATACCCAGGAAAGGGAACTTCTGGCAATTTCAATGAAAACTTTACATCTGTGACAAATTTGTTGTACTTTGTCCCTAGGACCCCAATCTATCATCCAGCACACAGCAGGTGTTCTCTCTGCAACACGACAGTGGCCACACGGACATAGTGTCAATGAGAACCCTGGAATATCTATTTAGTTCATATGTCAGGTTGGCCATCTGTGTTGCTTTAGTTTCAGTGGGCATATAACAATAGACAGGACGGATCACAGCACGGCAATGAGGACTTCTGGGAATCAATGCTCCCAGCAGGCGGAATGGTGGCTTATACATCCAGGTGACCCCTGCAGAGCCTAGCATTATGCCCTATACTGAGCTAACCCAGAGAAATATTGTTGATTGATGACAGAGTGTCTGGTGTCTAGGGGCAAGCAGCCTCAGACGGTCACTAAGGACATGTGACTTGTCCTAAGGGCTCCCAATTTGTCATTTACTCTTTATCTCCCTGCTTGCTGCAAATATAGAAAATCTACCTTTTTTGGTGTTGCTACCGTTGGCCCCTAAGGGCCAGAAAGCTCAAATCTGCCCAGAGTCCCCGGCAGATCTGCAGCCACCAAACATGGAAAAGTTTCACCTTCAGGTTGTATTCCTCTTTCTTAGCTTTCTCTCTCTCCCTCACCAGCATCTGTGGGTCAGAGTACTGAACCAGAAGAGTAGTAGCAAGGGCCACCAGAGACCAGGAAGCAGCATCTCATGACACTTGGGACTTTTGTCCCAGCTGACTTACCTGGAGTACCTAATGGTGACAGACAGACCCATGTCAGGAAGGGAACACAAGGCTGCTCATCAGTTGGTTCTAGTTTTGACTCACTTTCTCAGTGAGAGCTGATGCTTCTATATGCAACAGGGTCAACTTGGGGCCACCTGTTCTCTTTGGTGACCACACCCTCTTTACAAATACTGGGTATTGCTTATCCCAAAGCAAGTGTCCAGAGACAAAGAGCTATGCATCTTCCACTCTGGGGGGACAAAGTCTCAAGCTCCCCCAGCAACCCCCTGTAAATTCTCACCCTGCCTCTAACTGACTTTCCTTAAATTCCAAGTCAGACTTGTCTTGTAGTATCAGGGGTGGCCCAATGTATTCCTCTAGAAGCTCATGTCCCTAGGTTCTATGCAGGGCACCCCTGAGCTTACATCTCCATAAAGGTGGTGGGACTGGGGTGGCTTGGGCATCTTAAGCTCCAAGCCCTCCAGGAAGGAGCTTAAGGCTGCTTCCATGGAACTAACTGTATGTGACCTCTGTGCTCTCATTCCAGGGCAGATGGGTAAAGTGGCAGTTCATTAAGAAGGGGGAAAAAGAGTTTGTCTGATGGGTGTCTACTCCAGGCTCACCTGCACCCCATTCCACAATGTAGCCAGAGCCTGTAAAGTTGAAGAGGACACTCCAGTCTCCCAGGCCTCCTGCCTCAAGGTCCAGCTCAGCTCTTGGAATCTAGTGGCCTAATCTCACAGAAGTTATGTGCACTTCTCCTTGTAGCCCTCTGGGGATCCAAGGGCTGTAATTCTACTTGGCCTAATGTATGAGCCCCAAGGCTAACAGTGCATTACCTTCATCTCATGTCTGGCTGGAACATCCCAAACTCTTTGGGAACCCTTTCAAGACCTACATCCCTTTGCTGCAGGGGCAGCATTGATTCAAGAGTTCTTCACCCAACCAGGTGCCCCCTATTCTGTCCTGGAGCCCCTGTGCGAAACACTGTCCAAGGACGTGCCTCGATTTCCCTAATGGAGAGCACTCTGATCCTATTTCCCGGCGCCCTAAAGAGTTCTTTCCCGAACACTACATTTGTTTGTGTGTCTCTTCTTCTCCTCCATGGGTATCCTTGCTCCCTTCCCAGCCGATGCTATGAGAGCAGGTAGCCACCCAAGTCCAAAGCCTCAGCCAACCCTGCGCTCACCACCACCATTCTTGTAGCAGAGATAGGGGAAGCGCCACACGTTGGCCAGGTCCACTGCGAAGCCGACCACGGACAGTAGGAAATCGATCTTCTTGCCCCAAGTCTCCCGAGGCTGCGCATCGCCATCCTGGGACGCCAAGAGGCACTGGACCCCGTTGCGCTCCTTCACCACCAGCAGATCCGCGGTTTTGCAGGGCCGTAGGGGCTGCTCAGGCAGCGGGTCCGCCCCGCCGCCGCCAAGCTCCGGCTGCACCTGCGGGTTCATTCGCGCCAGAAGCATGGGTGCGGCTGGAGAGAGGGACTTCGGAGGCACTGGGGACACACCGAAGCTCTGCTTGTATGAAAGGGAAAAAAGTGGTCACCAGGGCTTGCAGTCTGTTTGCACTAACTGAGACCACCCAGGGCAACCCAGGACGCTGGGATCCGTGCGCTGAGCAGACTCCGGCTTCCTAGAAAAGGGAGCACATGAGTTGGAAAAATTTGGAGACAGAGGTTGTGACGTGCGTCCGATTGAGACAGAACTCATAGGTGGGGACCTCCTCGGGCCTCCCTGTGGGTCGGGCTAAAGACCCTGCCGTCTCTACCTGGGTCATTCTCTGCGCCACCCTCCCCCCGACACACCCCTAAATGGCAAGTTTCTTGCGGGCTGTTGGGGGCCCGGAGTCGACTCGCCTCTTCCGTCCTGCTCCGGGGAGTGGGGACGACTCCCAACAGCCCTGGGAGCCTTCCGGACACTCTAGCGGGTGCGGCCGCTCGCGATGTGCTTCGGGGAAGGCGGCACACTTACCGGTCCCGCGCGCAGGGCGCACTCACGTGGTGGGCGGCACGGGGATCACAGACGCCAGCCCGGGCTGAGCTCCGCCGCGTGGCACTCAGGCGGGGCCCGGGGAGCTCTGCGGGCGCGGGGCGGCCAGCAGGACTCGGGCTGGCTGGCTCTGGCCGCGCCCGGAGGAGACCGACCTGGTAATGTAGCCTGTGCCCCAGGTAACGCGCCTATTGCATTAGCCCCGCGCCCAGCCCGCTCGGTCTGGAGCCTGTTAGCGCTAATGCAGACTGACAGCGTGGCCCGGACTGGCAGAGGCGGGGGCGCAGCTCCCACGGGCTCCGAGGTGGCGGGAGCCCGACTCCCGGGGACTCGTGGAGACCTGGTTAAGTACTCTTTCCGTGTCTCTCTTCAGCAGGAGTAGCGAACGCGGCTCCAAAGACACCTGGCTCTGATCTCTGAGCAAAGGAAGAGAGCAACGGACTCCCAGAACTGGGTCCTATGTCTGTCAAAGTGGGGCTGGAAAGAATAGGGGGAGCAGCCACCACTCCAGCTACACCAGCACTGTCATACACCCACTTAATCTTCTTGATGAGAGTTTTCTCCACCAGCAAAATGGGAACTTGGCGCTCCAAGATGAGTACGGCAACTGGTGGCTGTAGGGCTGGGCAGGGCCGGGCCCTTGGGCAGTTTTCTTTGGCCAGCTCAGCTTGTTGAAAGGTCACGGCCCAGGATTTTACTCCTGGCTCTGTTTGTGACTAGCAGGCTAGCAGGCTTTGGAGGCTATGACCCTGTTCTCCTTGGAGGCTGTGACCCTGTTCTGTAAGGCTGAGCACTGATACTCGTCCATCTTACAAATGCCTCCCAAGCGCCAATGGGAGCCTTTTTTAGTTTCCCAGAAGGGGACAACCCTCATAGAGCTGGTTGGTTCAGTCCCGGAAGCAGGAAGAAAACAGGAAACACGATCAATAAACACATAGGATGGGTGAGAAGACTGGTGTGGTGTGGGCTGGTGTGGGTAAAGCAAAGTAAGAGAATGGCTGGAAAGAGCATGGCTACCATCTGAACAGTATCTTCTGTCATGTTTAAGGGTTAGATTTTTGGACCTCAGAGTTTATTAAACCAACTTGTACTTGTGTCTGAATCGACCCAGCTAGGAGAGCCATGGAGACAATCCCTGACACCCGGGAGTTCCCAGTCCAATGTATCGGGATGGGTTGTGATCACTGGAGAAGAGGAACTTGGTGAAGCCAAATCAGTAAAGGCAGCAGGCAGGAATGTCAGGACGACACTTACACAGCATGGGAAGACATTAAATAGCTTAGTCACACTGATCTCTCCACGCTTTCAACATTTCCAGCGCAAAGCTACCCCAGGGCCTTTCCATTTGCTCTTGTTTCCATCTGAGTTAGTCAGGTCTTAGTGCGGAGATTCCTTCTCAGACTCTTGAATCTAAAAATTCACCCCCGTTCATCAGATCACTGACCTAACTGATTAATTAACTAATTAATCTCATCTCTCCTTGAATGGCAGTTGAGCTCCAGAAGAGCAAAAGCATTGTCTACCCCATCCACCTCTGTGTCTCTGGCACCTGCAACTCACTAGATACATACTGGTACACAAAATGAGTGAATGGGTGAGTAAAGGTACAGCCGATACATGAGGATTTTTAGAGAATTTTCACATACTGGGCCAGCAACACAGGTATCCTGTGGGGAGGATGCAGAGAGGAGAGGAAGGGAAACCCAGAGGGTGCTAGCTTCACCTTGACCTCTTGGGGACTGATGACAGGAAACAGGAGATTAGGCAAAGGTTGGACCTGAGGTTTCAGGATGAGAACTGGAGACTACAGGTTCCCTGTCATCAAGGGTCATCTCTGGTCCTCTGTGACAAGTCTGTGAGGAAGGAACACACGCAATCTAAGGTTCAAGAGACCTGTCTGAGGTCCCACATGTGGGAGGTATCAGAGATGAAAGGGAAATCCGGATCTCCTGGTCCCCATTTTCTGGTCTCTCTACCTATGATGGATAAAGACACCTGAATCCCTCCAGCTGATCTGACATGTTCTCCTCTGCTCCATGCCTGTCCAGCTGGTCATTAAACCCTGATACTTTCATTCCTGAATGCCTATGAAGCCCTGCCAATCCTTCTATAGCCCCAGAGGATTCCCATCACTCCTTCCTGCTCACTTATTTCCCTGTCTTTCTAGCCATACAATCATACCCAGCTGCCAGAGAAATTCTTGAAACTCAAGTCCAACACCTCACCTGAAATCCCACTGATATGTACCAGTATGACTGAATGAACCATAGATTCAAAATAATCTCATTTTCTCCTTTCTGCCACTTGGTATCTATCTGCTCACTTTTCTGCAATGAGCATTTGATACTTGGGCACTCAGAAAAAGATAACTCAAAATTTCAAAAGGTCCTCTTGTCTCTTCAAGGTGATGCACAAACAGCATCCGTGGCGCAAACAAAATTCTGCTTGTCCATTTAACCATACTTTTGGTCATTAATTCTCTCCTTACTTTTCCCAAGCCTTTTCTCCTCCTTCAAAATATGCTTGCTAGACCTGGAGAGATTGCTCAGCAGTTATAAGTACTTGCTGCTCGTGAAGAGGACTTGGGTTTGGTTCCCAGCACCCACACAGCAGCTCACAACTATCTGCAACTGCCATTCCCTCTTCCAGCTTCCACAGGTACCAGGTGTGTGTACGATGCTTAGACATACATGTAGGCAAAACACTCATACACAAAAAGTAAAAATAAATCTTCAAAATATATTTTCTTCACTAGCAACATAGGTGATACTAAAGAACTAATATTATGGTTTATGTTCTGCCAAATTTTTAATATGCTCTTTCCATCCTTTTGTCTGTTTGGGGAATTCCTGTTCACCCTCCAATACCTCCAAAGGCACCTCCAATTCAAAACCTTCCCTGACAAGCAGGGCTCACAAGAGTCAGATCTCCTTTTCATATGGGCTTTGTGCTTTTGTCTGCTGTAGTTACTTGTGTAACTTCCCTATCCAGGATAAAGATGGCGTCTGACACAACTTCCTACTGCAGAAACTCACACCAGACAGAAGCAGAAGAGAGCTTGTTCCTTGGTTGGGATTAGTTTATGTTGGAGTCATCCAGAAGCAGAATTTGAAACAAAAGTCAGAGTATGTGTGAGAGGGAACTCCTGGGAACCCTTTAGAGAGTTGAGCAAGCCTGACAGGAAAGGATGTGAGACCAAGAGAAGGTGGCTTAAAGAGCAGCTCATGGCACGGGTCCTGGTGTCGTCCTGCTGGGACCTCAGAGGCACAGTATACGCCTTGGAGCTGCACCCCAAGGAGAAAGCTAGGAGGTTTACCCATGAAAACGGTTCCCAAGTACTGATTCCCCAGCGCTTCCAGACTGACCTAAGATAAGCATGTGTCTGCTGCCAGAGAAGGGTCTCAGCAAAGCCCCAGGTCCTGGCAACAGGGAGCATCAGGGCGGGGTCTGCACTGAGAACACAGTGAGTGACAAGGAGGATGGGCAGGACGCTGGAAGTGTCTGTTGCAGGGGTGGAGAGAAGCATTCCTCTAACTACATGGACATTACCAGAAGGCTTATTGGCAAGTCCTCCGAGTTCCCCCTGTGACTTCCAAGACATCTGGGGGACACAGCTGGCCTGAAGGAGAAGGCGTCTCCTTCATGTCCGGCCCAGACTCCCTGCTCATAGTTCTAAGGGCCATTGGGGCCATGTGGCTTCTCTTGTGCTCTGCATCCTGCCCCACCGGGTAGCCTGAGGGCAAGCGGTGGGCAGGAGGCTGGAGTATTATCAGAGCTAACATGGTCTCTGGGGAGGCGTCACTTCCACTTACCGTGGCACTTGGTGACACAGGCCATGGGATGCAAAACGATAGCTGGTCCTGTGAGTCCATTTTTGGTCATCTCCCTGCAGACACCAGGCCTTGACAAACAGAGGTTGGCCTGGAGTGCATCTAGAATCCACGAAGCTGAGTCCCGAGGGCTCTTTCACAGTCTATACCTCCAAGGCATCATAGGAACAATTAAGGTAAAGGAGAAAGGGAAGTCTACCTGTACATTTTTCTCTCCCTCCCTCCCTCCCTCCCTCTCTCCCTCCCTCCCTCCTTCCCTCCTTCTCTGCCTCTGCCCCTTCTCTCCCCACTTCTTTCCCTGTCCCTCCTCCCCCATCTCTCCTCTCTCTCCTTTTCCCTTCTCTATTAGGATATTAAATCTCTTTCATTGAAGCTGGTCTGCCCAGGGTTATTGGTCATTGGTCTAAGTTGTGTTCTAAATACAAATAGCCTAACAAGTCTCCTCAAAACAAAACCCACATGAGTTGAAATCCGTCTCCACCAGGGTACTTCCCACTAAAACCCCTTGAGGTTTCTGAAGCTTCTTATCTAGGAAGTTACGTCTCAGTTCTTGGTGTCTTCTCGAAGCCCAGCTGACCCTCTACAGTCACTGGCATTAGAGAGCAACTGTCTCTGGTTGACCCCCACATTTACGCCCTCTACCTG